TCTTCGGGGGGGGGCGCCGTCTCCTGGTCGAGCCAACGCATCAAGTGCGCGATGCTCTCGTCGACGGGGTCGGAGTATGTCGCGGCCACAGCAGCCCGCAAGGAGGCGCGTCGACTGCGCTTCCTCCTAGCAGAGTTCCAGCTACTCGACGCTGTGACGCCGACCATCCTCTGGGTGGACAACAAGTCGGCCATCACGGTCGCTGAGGGCTTGGGGCTGAAGGGAAACCCCAAGCACATGGAGCAACGTTACGCTTGGCTGCAGCAGATGGTGAAGTGCGGGAAGTTCGTCCTGTGGTACATCCCGACCACCGAGCAGCCGGCGGACTTCCTGACGAAGGCGCTGCACTATCCGGCCTTCAACCGGTGCTCCGTCGCAATCGGCCAAGTGCGCCTGGCCGACGTCCGCGATGGTGACGACGATGTGCAGCAGTAGGTGTCGTGCCCTTCTGCACGGCTTGCGCGGTGACGACGTGCTGTGTGTTGGGTGCACGCACGGCGACGGGTTATCTCCGTGGAGTACTGCCGTGTGGCCTGGGGGCCTAAGCGTGAGCGTGGCAGGGGAGTGTTGATGGGAATGGGGTGTTGGCCCCGCCCTTGCTTGGGCGACGCCGACTTCCGGTCGGGTGCGCGGGAGTAGCAGCCGACCGTACGCAGAGGTTGACGCCAACTTAGGCGTGCATGTCAACGAGGTGGTTGACATGCAGGGGACCACTGCGATGAAGCCATCGACGGGAAGCTGACGGCCTAGCTCGACGGGGCAGGTCGACGAGATGACATCGTCCTACGCGGAACTGTCGCGGGGCCGTCAACGTTGGGAGTTTGACGATTGCCGCAGACCAGGTTGGTCAACGGACGGGCCACCGATCAGGGTGGTCTTCGACGGGCACGGTGGTCGACGAAGGAGGTCGTCGACCACGCGCGCACTGGATGGTCGACCCGGTCGACCAGGTTACCTTGACGAGGTACTGTACAGTGGAGGCGCGCGATCGCCGTCGACACCATGATGGCGAAGGCGACATCGGGCTGGTATCCCGAGATCGTGGTGGAGCATCAGGCGCGATCGTCGGCACGTGGCCGACTTGGCACCTGCGCGACGGTAGAAGATGTGCTCGACCGTCGCCTCACACCTACGAAGTGGGTGCACGCATGCGTTACTATTGTTGAAGGTAGTTGGCCCCGCCCTCGCATGGGCAAAACTGACTTTGTGGTCGGGTGTGTGGGAGGTGCAGCCGACCTTCCGCAGAGGTCGACGAAGGTGGTCGTCGACCTGCGCGGAACCACTGTGACTTCGTCGACGAGAGTGGTCGATGAAGGAGTTCAACGAGGATGGTCGACGAAGCAGTTCGTCGACCAGAGTGGCGCAGCTGGTGCAGAAGTTCGCGGGTGTTCGTCTGCGCAGGGTCACGTCTGGCCCTGCGCACCCTTGAGACTGCACAGGCGAATTTTGGCCAGAATTTAGAATGTGCCTTAATTTCGACCAATCAGGAGCTGAAATTTTGGAATCTCGACCAAGGTGTCCGACGAAGATGGTCGACGAAGGTCTTCGACCCTCGACGACGAAGGTCGTCGAGCCCCGACGACGAAGGTCATCGATCCGCGACGACGAAGGTCGTCAACCGGTGATGACGAAGGTCATCATCCTGCAGAGATGCCAGGGACTTCACCTGCTTGACCAAGTGACCTGCTTGACGAGGTACGCGAAGCTGTGCGAACGACGTCGAGGCTGCTGTGGCAAAGTCGACCAGCGTGGCAGCACGTGGTCGACGTGGCTTAACAGGTGTAACCGTCAGCATGTGGCTGACAACCTGCGCAATGTACTTGACAGTGCACGTCGTGCATAACTGTCTACAAGCACCTGCGAAGTAGGTGCTTGCACATGCGCTTCCAATCACCTGCGGATGCAACGTTGGCAAGCCGCGCAGGTGCAGCGTTGGCAAGCTGCGTACGAGCTGCGTTGGCGGACCGCAGACTTGCTTCGTTGGCAGGTCGACGACTTTGTCGTTCTGGCGATTGTCCTGCCTGAGTGTTAGCAAATTTTGCATGTGATGTAGTCAATCTTAGCCATTTGCATGTTCATTCTGAACTCTGTTATTCTCAACTTTCATAGTGAAACTCTTGCTGTTTTGCCCTGTGAAAACACAAGTCCTAGAGAACACTGGCAGGGCTACGATCACTCTGACAACTCGTGCCAACCGCGTAGTCTAGCTCCACTGTTGTAGAGTTAATCTCCGCAATTATCACCTGCGGATGCAGCGTTGGCAGACTGCCTTGGTGACGCGTTGGCAAGCCGCGGACTTGATCTGCTGGCAAGTCGCTCTTCTGCAACGATGGCGCGGTGCCTCTACGCCACGCTGGCAGACAATCGATCAGCTAGTCTGCTAGGTTGCTAGGCTCTGATGTGGTTTTTTTTGCCTTTGCTATTGCTATCATTTTGCAATGCAACTTTCCCTAGTGAAACTCTTGCCGAATTGTCATGTGAACGCAAATGTGTTAGAGAACGTTAAGGAACGCTAGGATCACTCGTGCCAACCCGTAGTCTAGCTCCCACCATCGTTCTAGGGTGACTCTTCGCAATGGTGATATAAAGGGTTTGGAGGCTCTGGCTATTTAATGGTATCTTGTATACGCCATTCCTAGAATCAGGGATGAGCCTCAAATCAACCCTTTACGAATCAGGGTTGAGGCTCCTAGTTGTCAAACTCAGCCCTTACGAAAAACGTGTTGGAAATGGACACTGGAATGGCCCAAAGTGGTCTTCCCAAGGGCTACAGGTTTCGTCCAGGGAGGGTATGGGTGCGCTGACCCACCAAGTAAACATGCCCTTTTAGCCCAGTTGGTTAGCGAACTGGACAAAACGGGCTACCCTTAAAACCAACACTTTAACTGGCGAAGCTGAGAAGAAGTTTTACCCGGAATGTTCAGAGCATTAAATGCAAATGCCCTTTAATCGACAGCCCTGGCCGCGATGCTTAGGACGTGGTGCGGAACGCCTTGGCACGCCTCGATGCACCGCGGTGCACCGGGTTTCAAAGTTTCCATGCAGTGTGCACCGGTGCCTTGCAGTGTGCTGGAACGGAGCAATGCACTGACGCGTGCCGGCACGCCCCGGGGCGTGTCATGGGGTGCCCAGAACGCCCCGCAGGCTTGCCAATGTTCAAGATGTTGGTTACTTGCGAAAATTCTCACACGAGGATGTTGAAAAGATTTTGTTGATTGCGATGCATTATTGGAGGGTCATTCGTCAAAAATTTGGTGGAAAGCTGGTTGGCAACAGCCAACCGTGTACACATACTTGGGCGAATTTCGCATCTGAGTCTCTCGCCTTCGCCCAATTGTTGGTAGAAGGCTCCAATCCAGAACTTGGAATGATAATTGAAATTAATCTTGGGCAGAGAGGCGTGCCCCGGGGCGAACTGGGGCGCACGCCCCGGGACGCCTCGATGCACCGGGTCTGGTCTGGACCCGTTCTGCACCACGTCCTTAGAGAAAGCCCATCAGGAGCTCAGAGTGCATTCCTGGCTCGTGTGGATGACCGGAAGTTGGACCTACCTAAGGTCATCCGAGACCAACTTCGGGTCTTCCGGCCAAAAATTGCCCCTGTTTTCGGAGGAGATGAGGTTTGACAGGAAGCCCAAAGCTTCGGGCTTCCTGGGAAGGCCCGAAGCTTGACACGAGCGAGGAACGAACCGTCAGATCATAGCCACCTTACAGCTTAGGATGCGGTAAAAGTGGAGAATCCATCGCCGCAGGATCGTTTTGTAGCGCGGTTGTAAACGGTTGTGTACTTTTCGTATAAAAAACTCAGGGCTTCAGTGCGGTGACCGGATCGATCCCCCCCCGATCGAGCAATTTTACCGCGGCCTTACGATGCATTCCGAATGGGAAGAGTGGGGAGAGTTATGATTTTTGAATTCTGGGCCCTGTTCGGTAGGCGTTAAAAAGGCCGTTAATATCAGGCTCGGGGACCGGCTACAGTAAAACAATAAGCGAACAATTGGTTATCAAGGTTCGAGATAGGCGTTCTGCTGCCGAACCTGAGGGCGTTAAAACACCTGCCGAACGGCCCTTTTATTGCTGGCGTTTTTTTGCAAAACGTTGGTTCCAGGAAATCACCTCCACAGGCAAAAGAGCGGACCACTGATCCGCCCCCTGGTGCGCCGTCGAGAGCCTGCACCATGCGGCGGATTGGTGATGCGGCCAATCATAAGCGACTGGCCGAAAATGCAGACCAATCATGTAATTTCGCGTAGGTGCTGCGAAACTCACAACCTTTCCGTGCCGTTGTTTTAACGCCCTTAAAGCGAGCAGGCAAAATAGTGACCCCCAATTCGAGTTGGGTCCAACTTGAAGATTTTTTTTTTTTTCCGGAAGTTGGCTTTCTGTTTTTGTTTTGTCCGTACCAAGGCAAGTCTTCAGCGACGAATTGACATCGTTTCCAATCCCTGGTGCAATGATTAGAAAGCTGTCGCAACATGCACAACACTGTCGCACGTATGCAATGGCATTTCCACTTCCAAATTTGCATTGAGCTCGTTGATTCCTACATGTGAGAAACTGCTACCTTCACGCCTGGCACCACGCACGCAGCATGTCCACAGTTATTGAGTAAGAAACAGAATGGATGACAAAGCGATGGTGTAGGGTAGGTCTCCGCATGGGCGGGTATGGTGATGAGAATGGCAGAGAGATGGAGTGTGTCCAGGGAGACATGATGTGAGAGCGTGAATGCGACGAAGGGGAACAGAGACAATGAGGCAGCGTGACGGAAAGTGATGATGAACGAAGATGATGGGTCGGGACGGGAGATACGGTAGTGGGGGAAACGGGGAGAGGAAAGGAGAAGCCGAGTGCGGCGGGAAGGGAAGAAGCCACCAGCGCAAGACACGCTCTGTCAACGGAGTCACCAACACAGCATACGTGCTGTCCGCGGAGTCACCAACACAGCATACGTGCTGTCCGCGGAGGCAGCAATGTCACCGTACCGAACCCTATGGAACGTTACCGGACATCATGTGAGGAATGCAGTTCGTTGGTAAGAACCGCCGATAATTGAGACCATGAAAAGGCGACGGGAAGGGGAGGGGAAATAGCGAGCGCGATGGGAAGGGAAGGGGAAATAGAGAGCTCGACTGGAAGGGGAGGGGAAAACGCAAGCTCGACGGGAAGGGGAGGGGAAATAGCGAGCGCGCCTGGAAGGGGAGGGGAAATAGCGAGCGCGACGGGAACGGGAGGGGAGACAGCGAGCGCGACTGGAAGGGGAGGCAAAATAGCGAGAGCTCGACTGGAAGGGGAGGGGAAAACGCAAGCTCGACGGGAAGGGGAGGGGAAATAGCGATAGCGCGGCGGGAAGGGGAGGCAAAATAGCGAGAGCTCGACTGGAAGGGGAGGGGAAAACGCAAGCTCGACGGGAAGGGGAGGGGAAATAGCGAGCGCGCCTGGAAGGGGAGGGGAAATCGCGAGCGCGACGGGAACGGGAGGGGAGACAGCGAGCGCGACTGGAAGGGGAGGCAAAATAGCGAGAGCTCGACTGGAAGGGGAGGGGAAAACGCAAGCTCGACGGGAAGGGGAGGGGAAATAGCGAGAGCGCGGCGGGAAGGGGAGGCAAAATAGCAAGAGCACGGCGGGAAGGGGAGGGGAAAACGCGAGCTCGACGGGAAAGGGAGGGGAAATAGCGAGCGCGCCTAGAAGGGGAGGGGAAATAGCGAGCGCGACGGTAACGGGAGGGGAGATAGCGAGCGTGACGGTAAGGGGTGGGGAAATAGCGAGAGCGCGACGGGAAGGGGAGGTAAATACGCGAGCTCGACGGGAAGGGGAGGGGAAATAGCGAGCGACTGGAAGGGGAGGGGAAAATGCGAGTTCGACTAGACGGGGAGGGGAAATAGCAAGCGCGCCTGGAAGGGGAGGGGAAACAGTGAACGCGACGGTAACGGGAGGGGAGATAGCGTGAAGGGAAGGGGAGGGGAAATAGCGAAAGCGCGTCGGGAAGGGGAGGGGAAAACGCGAGCTCGACGGGAAGGGGAAGGGAAAACGAATTTTCGACGGAAAGGGAAGGGGAAAACGAAAGCTCGACCGGACGGGGAGGGGAAATATCAAGAGCTCAACGGGAAGGGAAAGGTAGATAGCGAGCGCGACGTGTAGGGAGTGGAGATAACGACCGGCCGAGCGCGGCAGCGAGGGCGACGAGAAAGGTGGAATGAGAATGTGGCGAGGGCTTGTGATCGTTGCGCGGATGAGCATGTTCGAGTCGTGCATGAGTATCCGTGAAGTAACTACTAAAGCTACCATGATAGTTGTGCTAATTATGATATTGGGCGGTAAAGTGAACCCAAGTCCTACTTGAAACTCCAGTTGGGTCCAACTGGATATGGGAGGCGTCGGCTTCCACCCAACCAGTTGGTGTCGCGTGATCAAACGTGAAGTTTTTCAGAAGCACGGAACTTTGGCGCCCTCATTTTCCGCTGTGTGATCAGTTATCTGGCGGGAGCCAATCGGGTTGGACAAGAAGTTTCGATGTCCATTGCCCCATCTTTTTGCAACAGTGCTTTGATCCCCCCCGATTTCAAGCTGGGCCTCCCTTCACTATTTTGCCTGCTCGCTTGCCGAACTGTATCTACATGATTTTCCGCACTTGCAGAGCAATCACACACTGACTTCGACGAGAGTGCGCCAGTTCCCGAGCCTGCGTTTGGGCCAGCGGGTTTATAACGCCCATAACGCCCATAACTCCTGCCGAACAGGGCCCTGATTCCGTGGCCCTCTCACCTCTGTCAAGTCAAGATGGGCGTAGGCGGGGGAGGGACTCACCTTCGGATCAGGGTGCATTCCTACCTCGTGTCAGACACGAAGTGGAGGTTTGGATGGAGGTTCGGAAGACCCGAAGTGGGCCACTTCGGGTCTTCCGAGCGTTGATTTGCCAGAGTTCGAGGTCACTTCAGGTCATCCTCAACTTCACTTTGTGTCTGACCTCATGTCAGACACGAGCCAAGAATGCGCCCTCAGAAGTGATAAGGTTGGGTTGGGTCTGTCTGTGTTTGACGCACCCTCAAATCGTGGCGGGGCAGCATGTCTCCGCGTTTGTTTCGATATTCATATCGTTCTGTATATTGTTTTAAAGACGACGAAATGAACTTTTGCCTCGAACGGTGCGTGCTGAAGAAAGGCCCAACTGCCCGGATACATAATTGCGAGCAAAGCGTACACAAACCTTACCACGTACACCACGCCGACCGCGACGTCCCGATTGGCGGAAAATGAAGGCCCTTCCGCCGCCAGCAAACGAAGGTGCCCCCCCCCTCTCAGTCAGAGCGTCTCTCTCTCGTGTAAATACTCTCTACGCAAGACTGCCCTTCACAGCAATTCACTCCGTCCTCGTCGCTTTCACATCTTCGTTATTACTGATTCTGATGGCGTTCGCTAGCTCTGAACTCGTGCATGCGCTGAGCGAGGATGAATGGCAGACGCGCGTAATTTCTGGTCCGGGTCTGATTGTGGTCGCCCTTTTCGACAGTACCCATACATGGAAGTGCGAAACATTTGGTCCCGCTTTCGCCGATGTCGCGAGCAGCTTCAATGCGGAGATTCAGGAAGGATTAGTAACATTCTACGAGCTGGACATCAATAAATACCCCTGGGTGGCCTCGTACAACAACGTCGCGGGTACGCTCAATCTGCTGATGTTCCGAGAAGGGAATCTTGTTAAATCCCTTGATAAGGTTGTTACGGTTGGTCACCCCAGGACCCAAGACGTAATTATGGAAATCTTGCAAGGGTAGGAAAGAAGGTCTCTGTGCTCCTGCCAACTTGTGAAGTGCACTTGCCTTCTCTAGTACCATCAAGTTTAGGCGCTGTGATTTGTATGCGCAACCAAAAATGCAAGCGCAAGGATGTGGCAAGCTAAGGGCGTGGTCCACAATTGTTCAAGATTGCTGCTTGAACAGGCTGCTTGAGAAAATGCATAGGTTGAAAACGGCTAATGCCGCATGTGTTTTTTACATGCTCTAATTCTACGGTATGTGTGAACGGTATTACATGGTAAACTTCTCCCTAGGGATGAATGGGCACATAACAATGAAGCCTGGAAACTTGTATAAAGACTCTAGATGATACACAATTCAATGAATCCCTGTGTGGTGTACATCCATGCTCAGGCAAGCACCTTACTCCTCCATGTCAGCAACATGCGGGCCCACAAAGTCAACCGAGTCAAAGAGGTCCGCATTGAGCCAGACCTGCCTGTTGCGCGGCATGGGCCCCTTGACACAGAAGAAGGTGCAGGGGGGCTGCTTCACCCGCGCCACGTCCTTATCCGCACACACCGGCGGCCACCCCGCCTCCGGCCTCACAATCTCACTCTCCTCCTGTGCCGGCCGCATGCGCTCTCTAGCGGGCGGCGCAGGGCATGTGGAGACGACGTCCGGGCGGGTGACTGCGGAGGGGTCTTCCAGGGCCTGGGCGGCGTACTTGACGAGGAGGACGGCCCAGTAGAGCGTGCGGCCCTCCAGGGAGCACCCCAACCTGGTGGGAGGAGAAGAGAGGGGGAGTGGGGGGTGTGGGGGTTGTGGGGGGAGAAGAAGGGCTGAACGGGAAAATGCAGGGGGCTACATAGTAGAGCTTGCGGCCCTCAAGTGAGCACCCCCACTTGGTGGGGAGGAGGGGAGAGGGAGAGAGAGTTTGAAGATTGGGATGTGTAGAGAGAAGCAGGCGTGAGGAGGAGCGTGGACAAAAGGAAGAGGGGGATGGGGGTGGTTGTGAGGAAAGAAGGGGTAGTGAGAAGCAGGGCAAAAGAAAGCATGTGGAGGAAGATCAGGCAGGATACTTGAGAATTCTCAAAAATCACTCACAAGGACGTGGTTGTCCGCAACAGCAACACTTAGGGCGCGGTGCATTAGAGTCGAACTTCTACACTGATTCGAACTTTCAGAAAGGTTCTAAACGGTTGAATACGTTTTCGAAGTCTTTTTTCACGTTTCAAAGTGGTTGAGGCTCGAACTTCAGCCAAAAAGCATCAGAAGCACCGCGCCCTTACCGGGCGGTGAGCTCACCTTGCAACGCTGTGGGTGTTGGCACTCATGTGCAGCACATGCATGTCATGTCATGAAGCTGGCCCGCATGTGGGGAGATTACTCTAGGAGCAGCGACACTCACCTGGCGACGCGGTGCATGTTGGTGGTCATGTGCCGCACTTGCTGCTTGTGCTGCCGTGCGCACTCTACGGAAACGAATGTTACAGTGGTGACAGCAGCAACAGCCCTACCTTGCACTGCCATGGGCGTTGGCGGTCATGTGCCGCACTTGCTGGCCGTGGTGCCTTGGCCACTCCACGCGATCAAAGAGGTCCCCCAAGAAGTGGTCCGTCGGAATTAAACGCCGCCACGGCAGCAGCATGGTGGGGAGAACAACGCAGCGATGCTCACCTGGCGACACGGTGGGCGTTGGCAATCATGTGGCGCACTTGCTGGTCGTGGTGCCGCGCCCACTCCACGCGGTCAAAGAGGTCCCCAAAGAAGTGGTCCGTGGGGATGAAGTGCCGCCACGGCTGCAGTAGCGGCTGGTAGAACTGCGCAAAGGGCGTGTCCTGCCTGATCATGGCCTGCACTTGGGGTGTGGGTTGCGAGGCGTACAGACAGAAGTAGGTAGGCAGATGAGATAGAAAAAGTTGGTTGCCGTGGTAGCTGTGGGTGCAGCAGCGGCTGGTAAAACTAGGCAAAGGGCGTACCCTGCCTCATCATAGCCTGTAAGTGGTGTGTGTGGTGGGAGACCGCGAGGGCCAGTGACACCGGAAGCAATAGCAGCACACAGTGCCAGCAGCACCAGCAGGGGAGGAATAAGTGAGAGATCCACTGAGCCGACTTAGTAGCTACTGTGGATGCAGCAGTGGAGGAACACATGGCAAGAGGCTCACCTGGTCGCTACCATAAGAGTCAACTCACATGGCAAGAGGCTCACCTGGTCGCTACCATAAGAGTCAACTCACATGGCAAGAGGCTCACCTGGTCGCTACCATAAGAGTCAACTCACATGGCAAGCGGCTCACCTGGTCGCTGCCCAGCACGCCACAGGTGCGGCAAGAGCCAGCGCCGCCGTCCACGACGACCTCGTACTTGAAGCGCTGCGACTCCGCCTTCTCCATCTTGGCCGCCTCGCTCAACCCGTCACCCATCGCCCTGCATGCATGCCATGTCATGTCACACACATGCACACATGCATGGCAAGTGATGCACGCATGCATGCATGCACAGCAGCAGCAGCACGTGACAGCACACAAGCCTTGCCTCATGCGTTTCCAGTCGTACACGATTGTTATCGCACTTGCTCTTGCTTGCACACGTGTCTCAAACACATGCTTCTGACCTCGTATGTTTCTGATCTCACAAATCTCTTGTCTCACACACATCACATCTCACCCGTCTCACATGTTCCTGCTCGCACATGTTTTGGCTCGCACATGCTGCGGGTCGCACACGTTTCGGGTCTTATCATCCACAAGCAGGCGCATGATTCGAGCATCCAGCAAATCCGCATGGTTGGGCTTTGAGACGTCTCAGAATCCAGCTTTTACAACGTGGCTCCTCTCCTCATTTCACATCCCATCCGAGCCGACTCACATGCTTCTGGTCTTATCATCCACGAGCAGGCGCATGACTCGAGCATCCAGCAGGTCTGGGCGCACATCCGTCATTCTGCCACGCGTGCAGTCCGCCCCTGCACCCACACCAGTCACCACCGCCACCCACACCAATCACAACCCACCCACCCCAGTCAACTCCCACTCCAGTCACACCCCACCCCAGTCACACCCCACCCCAGTCACACCCCACCCCAGTCACACCCCACCCCAGTCACACCCCACCCGTGTCACACCCCACCCCAGTCACACCCCACCCCAGTCACACCCCACCCCAGTCACACCCCACCCCAGTCACACCCCACCCCAGTCACACCCCACACCAATCACACCCCACCCCAGTCACACCCCACACCAATCACACCCCACCCCAGTCACACCCCACACCAATCACACCCCACCCCAGTCACACCCCACACCAATCACACCCCACCCCAGTCACACCCACCCCAGTCACACCCCACCCCAGTCACACCCACCCCAGTCACACCCCACCCCAGTCACACCCCACCCCAGTCACACCCCACCCCAGTCACACCCCACCCCAGTCACACCCCACCCCAGCGGCCACGGCTATCCACCACAGTGGCGCCCCAGCCGCCCACAACACCTCCCACCCATTCATCCAGAGTGCAACAAAAAACCAATACCAAGTGCAGCAGGCACACATGGGATGGGAATTATGAGAAAGGGAGGAGCTAGGGAGGGAGAGCGTATGAGAGGGGAGAGCACAGGTGCTGAATGTCGGAGAGTCAAGGGCAACATGGAACATGTATTGAGTGAGCGAGCAGTGCAAGGAGATGCAGGCACGACGCCCGGGCGGGCATGGGAGAGAAACATGACCGGTGAGGCAAGGCATGTGCAGGCGAGGGTGGGAGTATGACCGGTGCAGGTGGTAGAGCGGGCACAGGCATGGGAAGGCATGGGTAAGCGTGGGCGGGCATGGGAGGCAATGGGAGGGCATGGGCGTTGGTCTGACCGGTGGAGGCGGTAGCGCGGGCTGACTCGCCAGCGGTGGTCGGGGCCCAGCTTGAAGTTGGTGAACCCGCCCCTGAACACCGCCTTGCTTGCCTTCTGCTCCCACGGGGTCTGCGACAGGGGAGAGGCGGCGGGGAGGAGAGGACTACGTGAACGAGGTGGACTACGTGAACAGGACAGGCCTCACCACCCCTTAACCTCGCCGTCCTGCCTCCCGCCCCTTAACCTCGCCGTCCTGCCTCCCGCCCCTTAACCTCGCCGTCCTGCCTCCCGCCCCTTAACCTCGCCGTCCTGCCTCCCGCCCCTTAACCTCGCCGTCCTGCCTCCCGCCCCTTAACCTCGCCGTCCTGCCTCCCGCCCCTTAACCTCGCCGTCCTGCCTCCCGCCCCTTAACCTCGCCGTCCTGCCTCCCGCCCCTTACCTCGCCGTCCTGCCTCCCGCCCCTTAACCTCGCCGTCCTGCCTCCCGCCCCTTAACCTCGCCGTCCTGCCTCCCGCCCCTTAACCTCGCCGTCCTGCCTCCCGCCCCTTAACCTCGCCGTCCTGCCTCCCGCCCCTTAACCTCGCCGTCCTGCCTCCCGCCCCTTAACCTCGCCGTCCTGCCTCCCGCCCCTTACCTCGCCGTCCTGCCTCCCGCCCCTTAACCTCGCCGTCCTGCCTCCCGCCCCTTACCTCGCCGTCCTGCCTCCCGCCCCTCGCCTCGCCGTCCTGCCTCCCGCCCCTCGCCTCGCTGTCCCTGCCTCACCTTGGCGTCCTTGCCAGCCTGATAGCTTGCGGAAAGGTCCAGCGGATCAGGCACGATGATGTCCAGCGTGCCCGGCAGCCACTCTGTGCTGAAAATCGGCCGCCCGCCAAAGATGCCACTCAGAGAGCTGTCGAAGCTCTTGGGGAGGTCGCAGGTGGAGAGGAAGAACTCGGCGCGCAGGGCGAGCAGGGAGTAGTGGCGGATAGCTGCCTGGATGAGCTTGACTGACTGCACGAAGCGGTGCAGGCGGTCCCACTGGTAGTGGAAGCCCCCGTAGCGGAAGAAAACCTGCCCGTCGATGATGCGGATGTGACCTGAACACGACATGAACTGGTAGGTGGCGTGGGGACCAAGGGTGGGGAGGGATGGGAAAAGGGACGGGCTGTTGAGGTGTGGGCTATTAGTTTTTCCGGAGGGAGAGGCGGTGGGCTCCGGACAGTTTCAAGAGCTTTGAGACGTAGAAAAACTCACCCCGGGTTCAGACGCCACGTATTGCAGCATGGCCTGTGAAATTATGCCACGTGGCTCCTCCTCCGCCTCCCCTCCTCCACCGGCTTTCTTCCCCACCAAGCTGGAGCCCATCCAGGGGTGAAGGTATGTGTCAGCGATGCACGCAAAGCGCCTGACCGCCTCATCGGAGCGGTTGAGCTTGGGGAACGCCGCAAGCTGCCGCGTGCAGTCTGGCAGCGATGCCAGGTCGCCCTGCGTGGGTAGCACCTGCCCGAATGGCACCGCCTGCTGCTGCGGTGGCTGCTGCTGCAGCTGCGGCTGCTGCTGTGGTGGCTGTGAGTTTGCCTGCTTGTTCTCGCTGGAAGTGCTCTTTCCAGGCGAAGTGGCCGGGGGCTGTTTGGAATTAGGTGGTGGAGGCAAGGACGCGGACGCAGCAGACGAGGAATCAGCAGCACCGTTGGATGAGCCAGCAGTGGGGGTGGATGAGTCAGCAGCACCGCTGGATGAGTCAGCAGCGTCGTTGGTTGAGTCAGCGGGAACGGTCTGGCGCAGGAAGCTGGGGCCGTTGGAGGAGGCGGTCCACGCGGCGGCGCTCTCTCGCTGTAGGCGACTGCCGGGACTCTCGTCCATCTGCGCTCACCGATCCCGCATGAGCCGTCATACATCACCGCGCAGCACGCGGAACTTCTATTACAGCGAAACATGCAGGCATTCGCACAAACGCATGCACGTATTCGGACTAACAGATGCACAAATGTGAACGTGGAAAGCATGAAGGCATAAGGAATGAAGGCGTACCAGCGAGGCCGTGAACACGGCGAGTCGTCTTCTGTGAGTCGCGGTGTTACTCGCAGCTGACGGTAATGACGTGAAGAGAACGACCAGCAGAAGCAACGACACCGTAACAATTAAAAGTTTCGTCATTCTGACGTCTGCTTTGACAAAACAACCTATCAAGTGTCTGAGCAGCGTAATAGGTGAAAGAGCATCCCTGCTTTCAGACTCTAAGCGCAATAAAAGAAAGGTTAATAAATGAAACGATGATCAGGCAATGAAAGAATATTCTAAACTACTTAGGAGTACGGTCATTGAGGCGACAAGCAGACCAAGCCAGGTCTGGAAATACGGTCGTCTATGATTCAGGAACGAGGAATTCAGGCCATCTGAAATGAACTCATCAGAACAGCATTCAGTTACAGTGGTAGCCATCTGACAAGCAGGCGGGAACATCAGGGTCAGGTCAGGGACAATAGGGTGGAAATGGGTGGAGTGGAGGAGGTGCGTGTGGTGCGCGGTGCGTGGAGCCAGTGGAGTGGTGGAGAGAGTGGGTTGGTTGGATAAGGAGAGCCGTGAATTGTGATAAGCCGCTGGCCACTTGTTGTTGGGGTGAACATGTCCTCGCTTAGAAGCGCATCGCAACTGTTATCGTGATACTTATGTTTGTAAGCCTTGATACAAGTATTCTGCAAGTACAAGCAGTGTGGGACAGGTCTGAGGCCATACGAACGTGGTAACAATTCGTTTGATGTCGCAGAAATGCCATACATCCATCGCAGCAAACCCAACCTGGTCAGCTCCTGTCTTCCCCCACGCCAATGTTCCGCAGATCTCGCTATCGCAGATCTGTCAAACCCTCTTAGCTTCCGCTCTTCTCAAACCCTTACATCTCCGCTTGTCACGCTCGTATCGGATTAGTAAATTTAGTTTCTTCGTCTTTCTCTTCCCGTATAGCCATGGCCGAGTCCGCGTCGAAGGTCATTCACGTGCGCAATGTGCCATCTGAGGCCACGGAGGTGAGGGTTTCGAACATTAAACACGTTCCAGATCTCCCGTCTTTCTCGCAATTCACACAGTATCTCCGTTATTTTTGCTAATATATAAATCTCGGTGTTATTCTCTTCTGCAGCTCGATGTGCAGCAGTTGGCGCAGAACTTTGGACCCGTGCAGAGGGTCGTAGTCATGAGGGCCAAGAACCAGGTTCGAGTGTTCTCCGACTGTGTCTTCTTCTATTGTGTCTTTCCTCCTGCTCGGTTGACTCTTCAATTTCTCTCTTTCGTTTCATTAATATTATTTCGTGGTTTCTTGCAGGCCCTCATTGAGATGCAGGACATTGCAGCTGCGATCAATATGATCCAATTTTATACTGGCGTGCAGGCCTCCATTAAGTAAGTACTAGTTATCATTCCCAAGTGTTAATCCGTCTCTCATGCTTCATAACACTATAGATTCAGTTTGTCTGTCGACTGCCGATGAATTCACTCAATCTCGCGTAGCCATGTAACGATGTAACCGTGTAACCGTGTGCAGGGGGAGGAACGTGTATTGCCAGTTCTCCTCGCATCAGGTCCTCACGCCTAACGAAAATCAGGGCAGGACGCACCAGGAGGTACGTGAATTCTAGTCAACGGAGGAATGCTGCTGGAGTGGGAACTATCCGTCTCACGGAGAGCATGCTAGCCGTCCGACGACAAGGAGTCGCGGATCGGCCGTCTCTATTCTTCTTCCTCCTCACTGCTCTCGTTCCTTTCCGTACCTTCCCTGTACCTTTCCGCCTTTCTGCATCTTTCTCTGCCTTTCCGTACCTTTCTCTGCCTTTCCGTACCTTTCTCCACCTTTCCATATCTTCTCCGCCGTTCTCTCTCATCCGTACTTCAGATCTTACCCTCTCCTCTCTCTCTCCCCTCCTCTCTCCTCCCACTCTCTCCCCCCTCTCCTCCCTCTCTCTCCCCCCTCTCCTTCCCGTTCCTCGCTCGTCTCCCCAGGGTGCCCCTAACCGCATAATTCTAGTCACAATCCACAACCCGCTCTATCCAATCAACGTGGATGTGCTTCACCAAGTCTTTTCTCCCCATGGCTTTGTTGAGAAGATCGTCACTTTCCAGAAAGCTGCTGGTCCGACCCCCCTCTCCCTTCCCTTCCCTCCCTCTCCCTTCCCTTCCCTCCCTCTCCCTCTCTCTCGCTCTTGCACTCTTTCCTGCCTTCTGTTCCTTCCGTCCTTCCTTTCCTTCTTCTCCTTCCGCTCCTTCCTTTCCTTCCGTCCTTCCTTTCCTTCTGCTCCCTCTCGTCTGCTCTTACCGCGTACAAAGTGCACCCGGGGGTATCGAGCCGTCGGTCGACATCCCACGGAGTGAGGGGTCAGGCTGTCCCCTCACACGCGGGAAACTCGACCGCAAACCGCGCTGTTCTCATCCGCGATCTGTGCTGTTTGCTCCCCCTCCCCCGTGCTGCCCCGCGCGCGCTTTCCCCTTCCCCACGTCCCCCCGGCGCTGCGCGGAGCAGGGCTGCAGGCGCTGGTGCAGTACAACAACCAGGCGAGCGCGGCGGCCGCCAAGACCAATCTGCAGGGCCGCAACATCTATGACGGCTGCTGCACGCTCGACATCCAGTTCTCCAAGTAAGACCCCTCGTGTACATACTGAAATTACTCTTGCGGATTCTTTTAGTGGTTTCCAGAAGACCCCTTGTCATCAAGTTTTCTTAGTACAACCTGCCTGGTTTGCAGTTTGGTCTAGGAATATTCAAGGCTAACTCAGCCGTTCTAAGCTCGACGAGATGCCTCCGTTGGATCTCTTGTGTGTGTCAATGCCGGTGGTCGTTACAAGGGTGGTAATTACAATGATGGCGACAGTGGTTTCAATTCAATGATGTGTGTGTATCTTCTTTTCTGCCCACGCTTGTGTGTGTCCGCGTGTGGGAATGGGGGAAGGGGGTGTGGTGGTGGTGGTGGTGGTGGTGGCGGCGGCAATGATGGGCATGGTGTGTGCGTGTGTGCGTGCGTGTGTGGTGTGCAGTCTGAGCGAGCTACAGGTGCATTATAACAACGAGCGCACCAGGGACTACGTCAACCAGCTCCCGGATCAGCCGGGCAAGGCGCCCATGATGGTAAGCGGAGACAGCCCGTGATAATTTCCTGTCCCGCCAAGGTACACCCTTCGCCCGTTTGTGTAACTGACGCGCCTCTTATCTTCTTGTTTTCTTTGTTCCGCGTGAGCAGCAGGCGTCACTGTTCGGCGAGGGCGGGAATGTGTATGGCGCCATGCCTGGGCAACGGCCGGGTGTGTTCCCGGGACAGATGGGACAAATGGGGCAGATGGGGCAGATGGGGCAGATGGGTCAACCGGGAATGCCCCAGCCTGGCATGGGCGGCCTCAACGCGTATGGGGTGAGCTCTCTCTCCTTCCACTGTTGCCACAGCTGCCGTTGTGCTTGTGTTGCTGCTTGAAGATCCCTCTGCTGCTGCCTCAAGCATTGGTAGCTGCTGCCGCTGTTGCTGCTGGCGCAGTTGCTGCTGCTCCGTACAGTGCTTGGTTGAGCTTCGGTCCTACCTACTCACCATGGTATGTTTGATCGTTGCTTATTGCATCTCGGTATTGCTGCATGCAGAACCCTGGCATGGCAGCAGCAGCGGCGGCGCAGATGTTCGGGGGCAACCTGCCGCCTGGTGTGACGGGCACCAACGACCGCTGCACGCTGCTCATCTCCAACATCAACCACGAGGTATGCTCACTTTTGAGTCGAATCCAAAGCAACAGCCGTGCAGTGCAGATTTCTGGGTTGGGGGTAACGTACCCCTTGGTGTTACAGTCACGGTGCTCATGTCCACTATCAACCACAGGGCTTGCTCACGCCATACCTGGGATGCGTGGCATGCTGACTTGGTGATTCGTCAGTTGCTCTGTTACCAAGAACCGCCCTTCTTATGCTTTCTACCCTCAACTTTACCCTCTTTGTCACCCCCCCTCTCAGGTGGTGGGTGCGGACAAGCTGTTCAACCTCGTGTCCAACTACAGCACCGTTGTGCCCCTACCACACACTGCCTTACACTCTAGCCCTCCCGCAACCTTACCCTTATCCCCACCCCCCCCCCCCCACATCACAGGTGGTGGACGCGGACAAGCTCTTCAATCTGGTGTCCAACTATGGCAACGTGGTGCGCATCAAGTTCCTGCACAACAAGCCCGACCACGCCCTCGTGCAGCTTGCAGACGGGCTGCAGGCTGAACTCGCTGTTACCTACCTTAAGGTATGCTGGCATTTGCTGCCGTGTGTTGTAATGTGTTTTGTCTGTCTCGATCCATGCAGCGGTTATTGAGGTGTTTTTGCATCACTCCGTTACCCATGCCTCTCACACTCCATAGCTCCCATCTGCGCTCAAATGCTTTTCCTCCCCCTTCCTTTCCCTCCACGCCCCTCCTACTTTCCTCCCCTCCTCTTCCCAGGGCGCCGCTGTGTTTGGGAAGCGGCTGGAAGTAAACTATTCCAAGTACCCGTCCATCAACCCATCAGCCGACACCAAGGACTACTCCACGTCCAACCTGAACCGCTTCGGCCGCAATGCACCCAAGAACTACCGCCACTGCTGCGCGCCCACACGCATGCTGCACTGCAGCAACCTGCCGGCCGATGGCAGCGCTGACATGGTTGTGGAGCACATGGCCCCGCACGGGCCGGTGCTGGGGTCCAAGGTGATTGACAAGGATGGGAAGAAGCAGGTGCTCGTGCTGTTTGAGACGGTGGAGGCGGCTACTGATGCGCTTGTGGCGAAGCATGCGACGCCCATTGGTGGGCAGGTTATCCGGCTTGCTTTCTCCAAGAGCCAAAATCTGTAGGGTGGACTAGGGTTGTGGATGAGTAGAGTAGGCCGAAGTGTACTTGGTTGTCCTTCGGCCGCTGGAGTGTTAATCTTGATTTGTTGAATGATTGTAAGTGCAAGTGTGAATGTTGAATCTAGTGACGAGGGTATAATCTAACAACTGTGGTTAAACTCATTGTCACAAGACTGGAGGAAAAACTACACTAAACCAGAATCCAATAAGCGATTATGCGGAAGTGTGAGTATGGTAGTGCCTAGCTGAACATGTGTGGCATGGGCCGCACTGCCATAAATGCATCCACCATCTGTGTTCATGGGGGGGGATAAAATGATGAGGGCACACGAGATGGCAGGTGAGATGGCAGGTGAGATGGCAGGTGAGATGGCAGGTGAGATGGCAGGTGAGATAGCAGGTGAGATGGCAGGTGAGATGGATGTGATGGATGAAATGGATGTGTTGGGGCGGATGATAGCATAGGAACGATGACTAACAAGAAATGCAACAGATTGACCATATCAGTGATGAGTGTTGGTGGCGCTCCATCATGCCAGTCAGCACCTCCATGAGAGGGAGCGGAGCAGACAGATGAGGCTGGGAATGCGGAATGACTCGAGGAGTGTGACTGACAGACCTCGTTCATGTGAGGGACTGACTGACCTCATCAGTGACGAGAGCGCGTGCCTTCTGGTGGCGCTCCACCATGGCAGTTAACACCTCCACCAGCCGCCCCTTCACCTCCCCTGTCAGCATGCGCCCTGCGCCGTACTCCTGGAGTGAGAGTGGGATGGGATGGGGAGCAATGATGAGGGTGGAGCAATGCAGAGGAGGGAAGATGTAGCTAATATCTCAGCTACTCTCACTGCAGGCTTCTCTCCCTCAAAGCAACATTCACAGCAACACAACTTAATGCACTCACCTTTGTTATGTGCACTCACAGTTTTGATGTGCTCCAGCTCATTGTCGTCGCCGAGGAAGAAGGAAAGGTACTTCACTGGGACATCGACCTGTTGGCATGGATGCAAATGGGTGGGCATGGGTGAGCATAGCATGAGACGGCATGGGTGTTTCCAAGAAGGAAAGGTACTTCACTGGGACATCGACCTGTTGGCAGGGGTGGGGATGGGTGGGGATGGCGACGAGTTGCGACGTTAAGAAAGAAAAGCATGACTACTGTGGCCGTGGCTGGGGATGGCATGAGACAAGCCCATTTTTTAGGCGCCACAGCAAGCACGTAACATGAAATCCCAGCCGTCCAGCCCTCTCACCTCGAGGTTGGCCCCCTTGGCCCGATGCTCCTCGATGGTCGCTCCGCCTCCTGAGAAGGCATACCGGTTGATCTGTGGCAAGCGCAGGACGGCAGGGTGGAGGTGGGGGAGGTGAAGGAGGGGGTTGTGATGCTTCTGCTCTGGAACGGACAGTGGGACCGGGGCAGTGGGACGGGGACAGTGGGACGGGGACTCACCTTGTTTTTGATCTCCTTGGGCGAGTCCGTGACAAAGACAGCAGAGTTGGGGTCACTGGCGCTCATCTTGCCACTCTCGCCCTGTATGCGGCAGAGGGACGTGGAGAGATGCGGAGAGGGGGAGGAGGGGAGTGCGGGCAGTGGAAGCAAGGTGAGACTGGGGGTGGGGGAGAGAGAGCGCACACATAGGTGGGGGTTTGGGGTCACTGGCGCTCATCTTGCCACTCTCGCCCTGCGCATAGGAGAGGGATGAGTGCAGGGAGAGGGGAGAGATGACAGAACGGGTGGTAGGGGCAGGGTAAATATCCCGTGCCACCACCTGTTAACCTCCACCATCCCCCAATACAAAACTACCTTCCATTGCCTGCCACCACCTCCCATTCCCACCCATCGCCCCCCATTAACCCCCACCACCGCGCTGTGCGCACCTGTGGGGGGAAGAAGCGCGACTCTACGAGCGCTGGCTTGTGGAAGCCCAGGCACCTTCCCTGCAGCCATCCCTCCTCCATCATCCCCACCATTCCCCACCACCCAACACCACCTCTCACCACCCCCCGTTACCCCCCCCCCACCACGGACCCCCTCTGACCTGCAGGGCGGGGAAGAAGCGCGACTCGATGAGCGCTGGCTTGTGGAAGCCCAGGCGCGGCGCACAGTCACGTGTCATGCGGAAATAAGGGTCCTGGTGCACGGGAGGGGGAAGAGGGGGGGTGGGGGATGGGTGATGGGGGAGATAAGCGCACCATAAGCCCAGGCGTGGAGCACAATATCACGTCATGCCGAAGTATGGGGGTCCTGGTTGGGGGGGAAGAGAGAAGGGGTGGGACCAGGGGAGTGGGATGGGGGCGATGCGGTGCATCAAGCATCAAGCGGAAATAGGGGTCCTGAAGGGGATGGTTGGGAGATGGGGAGAGAAGAGAGCATCATGAGCCCAGACACACAGCGCTTGTGAGCGCCCAGTTGCGGTGCACCGTCACGCGTCATGCGGAAGTAGGGGTCCTGGTGGGGGGGGAGCGGGGAGAGGGGAGGGCGGGAAAGAGGAAGGGATAGAAGTGGCAAAGGCAGGGGGAATGGGGTTTTGGATGGGGAAAAGAATGGGGCAATGGGGCTATGTGCATGGCACAGCACTGGTGGCATGGCATGGCATGGCATGGCATGGGAGGGCAGGGCATGAACCGTTGGATCTCGCAATCTCGTCTGCTGGGCACACATCACGTCACATCACATGGCATGATACACACCTGGTCGATGGCGTGGGGGATGAGGCATCGCACTTCGTTCTTGCGGCCAAACAGGTGGGGGAAGGACGAGGGGCACGCTGGGGCAGCCTGGGAGGTTCAGGGGACAATGGGAGCAGAGAGAAGGGGAGGAGAGGGTTGGTGTGGGGAGAGTGCGGGGAGTAGAAGCAATCTACCAGTGAGCAAGGTTCAAAAATACGACCGAATTTTTGAAAAAGTCACCGTAAAATACGGTATCGTATTTTACGGTCGTATTAAACGTAAAATACGGTCAGACCTTGCATTTTTAGGTTCGTTCAAAAATACGGTCGTTTTTTACGGCCGCAATTTTGAAACCGAGATTTATGAAAGTATTCCTAGACCTTGGTTATGGCCGTCGCGTTCGCATAATACTTAGGGGAGTTTCGGTGGAGCTCAGGAACATCCCTACGGAAGCTCTGACAGATTCCGAGGCCATCCATAAGGGCATGGAAGATCCTTACGAACATGTAAGGGGAGTTGGGTCTTGTAGATCTAGGGTTGGGTTGAGGCCGATGTTGAGATCTGTGAAAGTGTAAGGGGGGTTGGGTCTTGTAGATTCAGAGCGGTGACAAGTGGTAACTGGCGACAAATTGGTTGCGACATTTAGTTCCAACAATTTTGACGGGGAGTAAGGCAGTTCCTGGCGGGATCCAATCGACCGGCAGATCGGCGGGCGAAATCGCCGCACAAGCGTGGTCACTTATAATAGTCTGAGTTTTTGTGGGGGAGCGGCTTTTTAGGCCTGACAGTTAGCAATTTTCCTGATGTTCGCATCCTTAGAGGTGGACGGTTCCAAGTCTGGGAAAAAAATCTCCAACAAAAAAACGGCCGATTTTTTTGGAAATTGGCCGTAAAATACGACCGTAAAAAACGGCCCGTATAATACGACAACCGTATTTTTAATCCTTGCCAGTGAGGCAAGGCAGTGGGGGGGCCGGGAGGGAGAGGACGAGAGCGGGGGCGAGGGTGGTCGGGGGATTGGAGGGTGTGGGAGAGGGAGGGGGAAAGGGTGGGGTTGAGGGTGGAGGAGAGGATGGAGGAGGGTGGGGGAGAGTGGAAGAGGGTAGGGATGGGTGGGGGAGAGGGTGGCACCTGAACGGGTGGGAAGCCCACTTTGCCGATGCAATCCTCACCGTCGAATCCAAAGATGCCCCGTGCCTGATGTGATCACATGACATGTGAGACACGATAACAGTGACATGATGTGACATGATGTGACATGATGTGACTTGATGTGATATGATGTGTTGATACATTTGAATCAGCAAAATATTGGAGAAGCAAAGTGGGTAACATGAGAGAAGACGAACACCATTCTCGGCCATTCTGAATTAAATCCCCAACATTCAGCAAGTTAGAGGTTGGCGCCTTGCCTGGTTGAGAGTGACACATCGTGCGATCTTCACAATGTTTTGATAAAAGTCCCTGCCATGCCACCACACCACCATGCACGCACAATCCAAGTCAGGTCGCACCAGTTGAATGCTGTTTCAAAACGTCAAGCCGTCATGCAATAATGCCCCCCCCCCACGCTCTCCACACTCATTTTAGATCAGCCATCCACCCACTCTCCCCCCACTCCTTCCCGTCCCCTCCCTTCCACCCCCCCACCCCCCACCCATTCTTCTCTCACTCTCCCCACCCCCAAGAGAACGCACCCGCCCATGTAGTCAAAGTCACAGAAGATGAAGGTCCTTGAAGCATCAAACCCACATAAAATCTTGGCAATGATATCTTGGCATTCTCCCTCCCACCCACCTTGCCTCGCCCACCCTGCCAATTAAGTGCCCACCCACTCACTCACTCACTCACTCACTCAATCACTCACTCACTCACTCACTCACTCACAGACCAGCCACCACTCACCCCCCCACATAGTCAAAGTCACAGAAGATGAAGGTCCGTGACACATCAAAGCCACACGCAATGATATCCTTGGCATTCTCCCTCGCCAGCCGCCGTGCCTCCTCCACACTCATGCTCTTCCACAGATACTTCTCGTCGTCGGTCAACTGAATCACCAGAGGGACCTTGAAGGCCTCTTGTAGCCACCTGGGAGTGTTGTGTTGGCGTGGGGGAGATAAGAGGATCGGATGGCACAGAGTGACATGCCGCCTCCACACTCATGCTCTTCCACACTCATGCTCTTCCACAGATACTTCTCGTCATCTGTTAACTGAATCACCAGAGGGACTTTGAACGCCTCTTGTAGCTAGCCACCTGTTGGTGTCACGGATTTAGAGCGAAGGAAAGAAGACTGTCAATCAGACTTTCCTGCTCTTCCACAGATGCTTCTCGCCGTCGGTCAGTTAAATGACGAGAGGGACATCAAAGGCCTCTCGAAGCCACCTGAAGGGGTGAGAAAAAAAGACAGGGTATGTCGGTCGGTCAACCCCTCCTCCACACTCATGCTCTTCCACAGATACTTTTCATCGTCGGTGAGTTGGATCATCAGAGGGACGTTGAATGCTCCTTGAATCCTGGGTGGGTGCATAGGGCAAAAATGAAGGGATGCTCGCTGCTCCAGTCAAGGTGACTTTTGAGTCGACTCAAAAGTCACCTTGAATGCTCCTTGAATCCTGGGTGGGCGCATATGGCAAAACTGAAGGGATGCTCCTCCAGTCAAGGTGCTGTTTGAGCAGCCACCAGCCTCGTGAGTCTAGCGTGGGACTCACTTGGTGAACATGAAGGGGATGAGATGCTTGTTCCAGGGGCACTCTAAGCTGTTACCAGCGACATGACTCTACCACGACGCACGAACCAGACGGCTCACGACTCCCAACTCACCACGCACAACTCGCAACTCACCCACGGCGCGCGACTCACTTGGTGAACATGAAGGGGATGAGGTGCCCCAGGTGCAGCGCCTCGGACGAGGGGCCTCGCCCCGTGTACAGGTAGAACCGCTCGCCCTTCTCCACCGCGTCTAGTATCTTGTCGAAGTCGCTGGGATGGGTGAGGGACGGGGTTGTGTAGAGGGGGATAGGAGGTTAGGAGGGGCGAAATGGGGAAAGAGGAGGATGGGAGATCAGGGCAAGGGGGAGCACAGGCGGGACGAGGGGCCTCGGCCCGTGTACTATGGGGAGAATCCCCTAGTCCTTGCCCTCCCAGCCCTTAACTCCTAGCGAGCCTCGAGCCTCTCGCGTCAAAACTCTAGCCCCGAGCCCCGAGCCGCTACGCCCTAGCCCTCTATCCCGTCCTCCAATCAACGCGCCGCTGCGCGCCGATAGCTTGGCGGCACCCCCCCTGCGGAAGGCGCACCGGTGCGCGAAGAAGATGCCGCGGCGGAGGAACGGGTGCGCGCGCACGCCGGTGAGCCGCTCCATACGCGATACAAGCGGGGGTTCGAGACGCTGGCAGCCGAACTGCTCGATAAGTTTATTGTAGTCGATACCGCCCCCGGATGACACCTCCCACGGCGTCACCACCTGCTCCGCCTCCACCACCCCCCCGCTCTGCTGCTCCGCATTCTCCCCGCCTGCGCTGGCCGCGCTCGCCTCCGCGGGCGCAGGCGCTGCGGCGGCGGGATCGGCGCCGGTCATTGCGCGCGGGCGAGGGGGAAACGGCGCGGGGAAAAATGAAGGGGTTGGGAGGAGGACGCGCCGCGCGAATTGAGGATGACAGACGGACACTGCGGGCACGTGAGGAATGGCTGGTGTGGTTGTGCAATCAAGTGGATGCGCGATGATTCGTGGATCACCTGCTGCGGGTTTCGGGTTTGTGACGGGCTTTCGTACTCGTTAACGTAAACATTCGACAAATAACGGAACCAGTGTACTACTCGGAAACAATCTGAAGTAAAGATTATGGAGGCACAAATCAGCATTTCTTTATTCGACAAATAAGGCATCTTCAATGACAGATTGACATGGCTTTGATTATCCAACGGTAGATTCCAATCCAATTTATTACAAAACTACACTATTAAGCCCTTGCAACGAAATCAACACCCTTGTCAATGCTTGCCTTGAGCTCCGGCTTCAACTTGTCCAACCACACCCTGCAAAGCAACGGACGAGACAAATAGCACAGCAGAATGACAACAATGATGATGGCGGCTCGTCAGACCTGGGGTGGAAGCATCTCTTTTAAAGACGGCTATTCTCTGATCGTCAAAGCACCTAGTTCCGCAAGCATGCGAGGGTTACCATTACTAGGATACAACGGAGGTTCACAAGCAGATTCACATTCACACAGGTGCTCACCGCTCATACTGAGTCATGGGCCCTAGCCCTAGCACCTCCTCCACTCCTTGCCGTCCCAGCACCACTCGCGAGGCAAAGAAGGGCAGCTCCGTCACCTGCTCACACACGGCAGCGGGTGGAAAGGGGGGGGGGTTGAGTCGACTCAAAAAGCACTTTGTTTCAATGGCACGCGAGGAAAAGAAGGGCAGCTCCGTCACCTGCTCATGAACAGCAGAGGGCAGGTGGTGGTGGCAGAGAGAGGGGAGGGGGTGTGGCGGAGAGAGGGGAGGGGGTGTGGCGGAGTTGAATCACATGCACGAGACTTGCCTTGGTGCAGTCACACGGGCAAAGGCACAGGCATGAAGATGCATACATGCAGTTGCACGGGCATATGCACGCGCAGAAGCAGAGGCAGGAGCAGGGACAAAAGCAGAGGCAGAAGAAGGGGCAGAAGCAGAGGCAGAAGTAGGGGCAAAAGCAGGGGCAGGAGCAGAGGCAGAAGTAGGGGCAGAAGCAGGGGCAAAAGCAGGGGCAGGAGCAGAGGCAGAAGTAGGGGCAGAAGCAGGGGCAAAAGCAGGGGCAGGAGCAGAGGCAGAAGTAGGGGCAGAAGCAGGGGCAAAAGCAGGGGCAGGAGCAGAGGCAGAAGTAGGGGCAGAAGCAGGGGCAAAAGCAGGGGCAGGAGCAGAGGCAGAAGTAGGGGCAGAAGCAGGGGCAAAAGCAGGGGCAGGAGCAGAGGCAGAAGTAGGGGCAGAAGCAGGGGCAAAAGCAGGGGCAGGAGCAGAGGCAGAAGTAGGGGCAGAAGCAGGGGCAAAAGCAGGGGCAGGAGCAGAGGCAGAAGTAGGGGCAGAAGCAGGGGCAAAAGCAGGGGCAGGAGCAGAGGCAGAAGTAGGGGCAGAAGCAGGGGCAGCCGCAGGGGCAGACGCAGGGGCAGACGCAGTGACAGATGTGGCGGCAGAGGGAGAAGCACGAGAGCATGCAGGTGCGTGAGAATGAGCAGTAGGCGGTGGTGACTGACCGTGGATTGGACAAAGGCGCACTCCACAATGCCAGCCTCTCCCCGCATGGCCTGTAGACACGCCTGGGCGAACTTGGCCGCTGCGTACGCCTGAGGGTGGGGATAGGGGGGGGTAGTTGGACATGCAGGAGAGCCGGGGGAAATGGGGTGGGTGCGCGGGAGGAGTGGGGAGCGGCAGTAGGAGGTGAGTCAGCACGTGGTGGTTGGGTTGGGAGGGATCAACATAGCTCGTGTGGTGGAGGTGGAGGTGGAATTGGAAAGCAAATCTGTTTGCCTGATGGCATTCCCTGGGTTAGGTTTATCTGCTTGCATATCCGACCAAATTGACTCATTGTACGAAAGAAGCACCGCACGATGAGACTTACCATGGGCATGGCTAGTTTTGTGCTTTAAGGATTCTCACAGTTCATTTCAACTAATCAGAACCCAACTGTTTCTCGGTAGCCAACAAGTCACGATGGGATGGGACTCACCATGGATAGGGTGGCGGAACCAGCGCCGGCTTTGGCCTGCAGCAACGCATGGAGCGAGGGAAGCAGGCGGGCAGGGAGACAGGATCAGCAAGTACACAGGGCACTGGCGATAAATGCGCATTGCACGATCGTAATATTTTTTTTTGCTGTGCTAGAGAAGCACACATGCTTTTGCATCACATGTGCTGGTAACAAGCGTGGTGAAATATCGTCACTGCGTGTTGATTGATTCGTGTCTGCTTCGGCAAATTCGTGACCCTGGTTCCCCTTCTGCTACAGAACTGCTTCCGTTCCGGCCCCTGCTCTCACCTCGACGACCTCCGTGCCTCCGTTTTGGATTCTGTTGGTCAGCTGGTCCAACTCCTCCTGGCTGAAGCTCACCGCTGGTGTCACCTGCACTCACCGCACACACCATACACAGCACACAGCACACAGCCAGCATTGACATCCCAGTATGTGTGAGCCAGATGCAGCTTCACTAATGGAAGAGTGAAGGGGTGAAGCAACGGGCGCAGGCCCACAGGGCGCCACCGGTAGCAGCACTGGCAAGACCCACTACCCAGAAGCGCCCCACAGCAGCTGCAGCTGTGGGCGCTATAGGAGCTGCAAAAGCGGGTGTGGTGTAAGTATGCGAGCAGTCATACCTGCGAGAGCAGCGGCAGGATGGTGATGCCTGCGTGGCCGCCCACCACGGGCACGTTCACGTCCTCGGGATTCAACCCCAGCACCTCCGCCTGCCAAGCACAATGTCGCAAGGGGCACACGCATGGTTGAAAATCGCGCAGTTACACAATGCGTGAGAGAGAGGGGGAAGACATGGCCGAGGGAGAGGGTGAAATAGAGCACTGCCCCTCTATAAAATTCAGGCATAGCACGAATGTATTGTGGATAAATTCATCACTCTCGCACGGGCCCCATGAGACGTACCACGAAGGTGTTGGCGCGGACCACGTCGAGCGTCGTGACGCCCATCAGCTTGCGCGGATCGTACGTCCCCGCGCGCCGGAACACCTCCGCGGCGATCGCGACCGTCGAGTTCACCGGGTTGCTGATGATGTTCACGACGGCGCGCGGGCAGTGCTTCGCGATTCCTTCGCAGAGCGTCTTGACGATGCCGGCGTTGATCTTGAACAGGTCGTCGCGCGTCATGCCCGGCTTGCGCGGCACGCCCGCGGGGATGATCACCAGGTCCATGCCGTCGAGAGCTGCGCCCAGCTGGTCCTTGCCCAGGAACCCGCGCACCTGCGGAGCGGGGAGCACACGCAAACAATGAGCTAGTTTTGACACGTCTCAAATCAACCTCATTATCGCGGGGATGATCACCAGGTCCATGCCGTCCAGAGCTGCGCCCAACTGGTCCTTGTCCAAGAACCCGCGCACCTGCGGAAGAAAGGCGCACGATGGGCAGTACATGCATGGGGAGCACATGCGTTAATTTGAACAGAATGCTAGGAACTCGGTAACTGGTGCGTAATCTACTTATACTGGGAAACAACGAGCGTGAGAGCAAGGTGACAGAGAGGAGGGAGTATTGGGAAGGAACGTACGACGGCGGAGGTGCTGGGGTGGCTGAGGTCGGCCGTGACTTTTCAGTCGATTCAAACAATGTATGACATGGGTCACAGGGAACAAGGAACGTACGACGGCGGAGGTGCTGGTGTGGCTGAGATCCGCCGTGACGCCGGGCGTGTTAAACACGTCGTACAGGTGCAGCACAGATACAAGCGGATTCATTTTAAGCAGCAGCGACAACGGCTGCCCGATGCCGCCCGCTGCGCCCAGCACGGCGACCTTGAATCCGCCGCTGCCGCCCTTGGCGCGCGTGACGTTCATGCTGAGGGCGCCATCCTGCGCGCACGACCAACAGGCAAGCCAGTGGAGAATTTCATCAGTTCAGACAACGCCTCAATCCGTCATAGTACTTGTTATTGTGTAACGTGCAGGCACGACAGGTTATGGATTTTGTTCCTTCAGACAATGCTTCCTTCAGTCAGACTCGTTATTGTGCATGTAACTATTGAAATCGCAAATTTCTTGCCGAACGTGGGGGACGTGAGGAGCAGAGCGGGACGAGGGAATGCGATGCGAGCTGATAGAGCGCGTGATGCGTGTGGTGAGGCAGCGGCCACTCACGCTGGTCGAGGCGGGTGGGCAGATGTGCGAGGCGATGCGGTTGATTCGGTTCAACGGACTCATGGTGAGCTGCGCGGGGACGAGACGACTGACGAGGGCGACTGTTGAGAACGACTGGCGAAGGGCTAATAGCAGCCTTCGTATGGCCTCGCGTTGGCACAGATACCGGACTCTGCGGAAGGAACACGGCGAGAGGGAAGGCTAATGCTGAGCGTGCTAGGGCTGCTGTGCGACGGCAAAGTGAGCCTAGAAATAAGAATTTCCAAGGCCTCTGTGCTTGTGAATGGCTTCAGGCTTCGAATCTTTCCCCCAAACACCCTCCAACACCGAAATTCGTAATCGAAATTCGAGCGACTGCTAGCTGGGTGGTTGGTTCATGCAAGCGCATCATGCGTGCACTGGTTTCCCGCTTTGGCTCGGATTGTGGTCCGGTTCGGAGGAGAAAAAGGGGACCAGCCCAGCTGGCAGAAAGCTCGAGTGATGTGTGTGTGTGGTCCCAGGGGTGTCTTTCTGGAAGGGCCATGCTGACGTGATCCTGGACTCGTTCAGACAGGTTCTGAAAAGTGCTGTCACGTCAGCACGCGCTGATGTGGCTTTGGGAACCTCCACACTCCCTAATAGCAACCGCGCTATTGTGTGGACTCGTTTCAGAAGTAAGCCACTTCACGTTACCACATAAATATATTTTTACTTTCTGAGTTTGCCTTCATACTGTAGCCCTTCCTGACACTTGGGGATTGCCGAGCCATCCTTCACATGAATGAACCAATGGCGATAATCCGAGCCTTGTTCCACACCACACGCAAGGCAGGGGGAGAGCACGTCATGTGTGCTGCCTGCACTTCACCATCGCCAGTCGATCATAAATATGTGTAGAGACAACTGTATTTCTGCTATTGTTGGGAATCAGGGCGCCTGTCAACCTTAGCTGAACGGCCGTCCTACCTACCTTAGCTGAACGTCCGTCCTACCTACCTTAGCTGAGCAGCCGTCCTACCTCATAGTTTCCGCAAATCCTGGACTTGCCGTCCCCTGCGCCGTCTCGCCGCTCTTTTGCCCCTGCAGCACCGACGATCCTAAACTCCTTTATCCTGATTTCTAACTTCGCCTTGGAATCACCGCCTGAATCCGCGTGGCATCACGCCTGGCAGATTCGCATCTCACAAGTATACCCGAACCCGCAATTCCGCATATCCTCAGAGCGTTCTAGGACTTCGTCGTTAGAAAGGGTGACCTCTCAGAAAATCTCCAAGTCGACTCGATTTTGTTCCAAACAGTTCCAAACCGCTTACGAACAGTTCTATACAGTCTTTAACCACTTTGAATCAGTCCAGAAGCGTGCGGAGTAGCGCCGCGCGCGAGAATGAGTCGTCAGATGTGCGGCGAGTGCAAGCGCAACACGGAGCTGGTACACGACCACGCGGCGGGGGACCTTATCTGCTCCGAGTGCGGGCTAGTCGTCGAGGCGCACAGCGTCGACGAAACATCCGAATGGCGTACTTTCTCTAACGAAGCCGCTAATACCGATCCCGTTCGCGTCGGCGGGCCGACGAATCAGCTGCTGACAGATGGAGGGCTCACGACGATGATCAGCGCGGGGAAGAACGGACAGGGTGGGGCGGATCTCCCCGGGAGGAAAGGGTGGGCCAGCCAGGGGTCGAACCCTGATCGGGACTTGATAAACGCGTTTCAGTCGATAGGCGATATGGCGGACAGGTGAGACGCAGTTCGGGAGACGGAGGGGTGTTAGGGAAGCTGGAGAGGTCATGGGTTCGAATCTTGAGGGGGGCCCGATTACCACAGTCTAGGCGATTGGCTCGGTGGGCATGGTGGGATGGGACATTAGGTGGTGGACTTGCGAGGGCGGTGAGGGAAGCTGGGAAAGATTGCGAGAAGGCGGGAGGATAGACTTGACGAGTGGGTTAAGCGTAGTAGTTCCGCGGAAAGAACAGAGAGCAGTGAGTGATCAAGGATGAGCAGATTACTGATGGCATGTAACGGGGCAGGTTCGATGCTGGGGGTCGTAGCACATGGCAGTATATGCTGCCAGCACACAACCACCCCCAGCCATCAACCAGCATGGTACCAACACGAGCCACTCAACTCTCCCGGCCCATTTCCTGCGCTCCCGTTCCCCTCATGACCCCCTTGGCTGTGGGCAACCGATCATGGTTGCACGCACTCAACTCGCATGTGGTCGCCACGCAACTACTGCCCTCCCGTGCACGCGTGTGTGGTTCGCAATGCGACGTGGGGCGTCTGCGCCATGCAGACTGGGCCTTGTGGCCACCATCAGGGTACATTCCTTTCTCGCTTCTCGCCGCTCCTTGTCCCTCCTCGCCTCTCCTTGTCCCTCCTCGCCTCTCCTTGTCCCTCCTCGCCTCTCCTTGTCCCTCCTCGCCTCTCCTTGTCCCTCCTCGCCTCTCCTTGTCCCTCCTCGCCTCTCCTTGTCCCTCCTCGCCTCTCCTTGTCCCTCCTCGCCTCTCCTTGTCCCTCCTCGCACTTACTCACCCACCCCCCCAATTATGAACGACCTAGGACCATGTGTTTCCCCCTTTAACCCCCATATCTATTAACTGTGTTTGCCCTTATCCAGGACCGTGCGAACGAGATATTCAAGAAGGTGCACGATTTGAAGAGCATACGTGGGCGCAGCAACGAGGCCACGTACGCTGCGTGCCTGTACATTGCATGCCGGCAGGAGGACAAACCACGAACTTTCAAAGGTGGGTGGCTGCGAGGATTGCATGTAGAAATCCAGCATGCCCCCACATGCCCTCGCTCCCACCTTCACATCACATGCCCTCCCACCCTCACGTGCCCTCCTCCCTCCACATGCCCTCCCACCTTCACATGCCCTCGATTCCTCACCTGCCACGTGTCTCTCCCTCCACCACAAGAGCAGAGATAGGGTCAGCAGGCAACAACATATCGAAGAAAGAGATAGGGCGAGCGACCAAGTTTATAGTGAAGCAGCTAGAAGCGGATATGGGGGCGGTGGATATGGGAGCAGTCAATGCAGGCGACTTCATGGTGAGAGTATTAGGCGGTTTCAGTGTAAGCAGGTGTGTTGACTCGGAAACTCTTTTTCCTCTACCCCCCCTGTTTCACCACCACTCACCTTTCACTCCCCTCGGCCCCTTGCCCTTCCCCCTGCATCCCGCTCAGCGTCGTTTCTGCTCGCATCTGGGCATGAAGGGCGCGCCAGTGCAGGCGGCAATAGAGGTGGTGCAGAACACAGAGCAGATTGACATCCGCACCAGCAGAGCGCCCATCTCCAAGGCCGCTGCCGCCATCTACATGGTCACCCAGCTCTGCAGCAACCCCGTTCCCACCAAAGGTAGTGTATGGTGCAAGGTGTAAGGTGTAACGTACATTCCCTTGCTCTCTGCTTGTAGGTCGTGGTGTGTGTGCATGACAGGCCCGTTCGTTTTCTCGCTCTCCTCCTCCAGTGATCTCTTCCTTACTCCCCGCAATTCCATGCCCTCTGTCTGCAGACATATCGCGGGCAACGGGAGTGGCAGAGGGCACCATTCGCAACACCTACAAGGACCTGCTGCCCTTTGCCTCGCGCTTGCTGCCAGAGTCATACGCCAAACCAGAGGACATCGCCAAGCTCTCCCCCTCGTAGCCCAGCTGCCCAGATTCCACTCACAGTCGTCTCTGTGCATGTTCTGGGTGGCGTGACGGCACATGTGAGAGTTGCAAAAGCGACTCCAGTATTGCTGCCTGACGGGACAACCCTTCATTGTAGCGGTTACTGTACTGAGGCGCTGCAAAAGCAAACACTCGGCTTCAAGTTGGGAGAGTTCAGGGTGTTCTCCAAGCTGTGCTTGCTGTGAGTGAGAAAAGAGTGTGTTGTACACTGTGATTATGGGAGCATTGTACAATAGATAGACCCCTTGGTTTGGCAGCCATCTTGGGAAGCTACCTCCTCCCCTTGTTCTTTACCCATTCGGTCTCGCCAGCACAAATGTTTATATCGTTCGCTACAGTGCGCAGTGCGCAAGCCATGCCTCTACCGCTGTATATCCTGGGAGGTGGAAGCAATAGAGCCAAAGAACACTGTAGCCTGCAATTAAACAGGAATGGGCTATCTTCTCCCTTTGTTCTTTACCCATTCTGTCTCGCCAGCACAAATATTCGTATCATTACAGTGTGCAGTACGCAGGCCGTGTCTCAAGCGCTGAATATCCTGCGAGAAGGTGGAGGCAACAGAGCCAAAGAACACCGTAGCCTGCGCACACACCAGCTTCTCCAGCACAGATGGTGCTATGCCAATGTTCCTGCTGTCGCTCACAATGGAAGCTATAGGCGTAACCCAATCAACAAACTGGTTTTGACCTTCAAACTCTGGGTTATTGCTGGTGTTGGTCCTGCTGCTCATGCTGCTAGTTATGGTGACGGTGGCACCGTTAGTGGCATTAGCGTATGTGATTATAACGGGGGCTTTGCCCACAGTGCCAGTGAGGGGTGGAAGGCGGTGGAAGGTGATGCTGAGGGGTGTGATGCGAGCTATCTTGCGGGCGAGCTCCTGCAGCTGCCAGGGGTTGATGGGAAGGGGGCAGAGAAGAGGCTTTAGATGGCTCTATAGGTGAGCCTTGCGCGCACTCAGAGGGTCTAATCTTTGCTCACCTTGAGCTTGGCATGCGTTTCACACGCTCTTCCTCCATTCCGCCATTGGAGCACACTCTCCCCCCATCCACCATTGGAGCACACTCTCCCCCCATCCACCCCACACTGATCACCACACCAAGACCAGGACACTGCCTCTCTCACCTCCTTGAGCTTGGCGTTGGTGGCAAGAAAGAAATCATCTATGCCGCTCTCCTTCACCCTCTCCACCACCCAATGCGCCACCTGCCAAGTGCCAGTGCCAGTAACCACGTTACCACCTGACATCACAAAGCAGCTTCAACAAGAGTTATCCAACAACGTGGAACCATAAATCTCCTGCGTGGATGGTTCGACTAGAAGCATGCGTGCTACAGACCGAACTTTTACTCCCATGAAAAGCAGAGAGACCCTTCCCTCAAGGCGATGGAACCAACCTCATCTCTCGGCACCTCACCTGGTGCAAGGGGTAGGAGCATGCATGCTTGGGCCCTCGCCAGAAGCACCAGGGCTTGAAGTCACCCCGCTGCTAGGAACGGCCGCCCCCCAAACAACCGACCGACCCACCAGGGCTTGAATTCCCCACATTCGCCAGCGCATCTCATCCCACGATTCTCACCTGGTGCACGGGGTAGAAGCACGCGTTCTTGGGTCCGCGCCAGAAGCACCAGGGCTTGAAGTCGCCCCGCCGCCAGTGCAGCGCCAGGAACGGCCGCCCCCCAAACAGCTGAGCCACCAGCAGCTCCGCACTCTCCAGCAGTGCGGGGCGTGGGCGCAGGAGGAGCGGCGAGGGGCAGGAGGCTGAGCGGCGGAAAGGCAGGTCCAGGAAGGGCTGTGGTGCTGTGGTGACGGGGGTGGTGCCCCCTTCCACCGTCGCTTCATGTGCGTGAGAGACGTGCAGGTTGAGGAGGTCCCCCACCACGAGCACAGGCACAGAGTTGCTGCCAAAGGCCCGCAGCACCTGGTGGGGCAGTGTGGGTAGGGGTGAGGGGAAGCAGTGAGAGATGTGGTTGGATGATGGGATGGGAGACGTGCAGGTTGAGCAGGTCCCCCCCCACCAGCACCAGGCACGGGGTTGCTTCCCCAGGCAAGGAGTACCTGGTGGGTCAGTGCAGGGAGAGCAATAGAGGGAGGAATGGGCGGCAGGGAGATGCGAGAGAGTGGAGAGATGCGGTTGAACGATGAGAGATGCGGTTGAACGATGAGAGATGCGGTTGAACGATGAGAGATGCGGTTGAACGATGAGAGATGCGGTTGAACGATGAGAGATGCGGTTGAACGATGAGAGATGCGGTTGAACGATGAGAGATGCGGTTGAACGATGAGAGATGCGGTTGAACGATGAGAGATGCGGTTGAACGATGAGAGATGCGGTTGAACGATGAGAGATGCGGTTGAACGATGAGAGATGCGGTTGAACGATGAGAGATGCGGTTGAACGATGAGAGATGCGGTTGAACGATGAGAGATGCGGTTGAACGATGAGAGATGCGGTTGAACGATGAGAGATGCGGTTGAACGATGAGAGATGCGGTTGAACGATGAGAGATGCGGTTGAACGATGAGAGATGCGGTTGAACGATGAGAGATGCGGTTGAACGATGAGAGATGCGGTTGAACGATGAGAGATGCGGTTGAACGATGAGAGATGCGGTTGAACGATGAGAGATGCGGTTGAACGATGAGAGATGCGGTTGAACGATGAGAGATGCGGTTGAACGATGAGAGATGCGGTTGAACGATGAGAGATGCGGTTGAACGATGAGAGATGCGGTTGAACGATGAGAGATGCGGTTGAACGATGAGAGATGCGGTTGAACGATGAGAGATGCGGTTGAACGATGAGAGATGCGGTTGAACGATGAGAGATGCGGTTGAACGATGAGAGATGCGGTTGAACGATGAGAGATGCGGTTGAACGATGAGAGATGCGGTTGAACGATGAGAGATGCGGTTGAACGATGAGAGATGCGGTTGAACGATGAGAGATGCGGTTGAACGATGAGAGATGCGGTTGAACGATGAGAGATGCGGTTGAACGATGAGAGATGCGGTTGAACGATGAGAGATGCGGTTGAACGATGAGAGATGCGGTTGAACGATGAGAGATGCGGTTGAACGATGAGAGATGCGGTTGAACGATGAGAGATGCGGTTGAACGATGAGAGATGCGGTTGAACGATGAGAGATGCGGTTGAACGATGAGAGATGCGGTTGAACGATGAGAGATGCGGTTGAACGATGAGAGATGCGGTTGAACGATGAGAGATGCGGTTGAACGATGAGAGATGCGGTTGAACGATGAGAGATGCGGTTGAACGATGAGAGATGCGGTTGAACGATGAGAGATGCGGTTGAACGATGAGAGATGCGGTTGAACGATGAGAGATGCGGTTGAACGATGAGAGATGCGGTTGAACGATGAGAGATGCGGTTGAACGATGAGAGATGCGGTTGAACGATGAGAGATGCGGTTGAACGATGAGAGATGCGGTTGAACGATGAGAGATGCGGTTGAACGATGAGAGATGCGGTTGAACGATGAGAGATGCGGTTGAACGATGAGAGATGCGGTTGAACGATGAGAGATGCGGTTGAACGATGAGAGATGCGGTTGAACGATGAGAGATGCGGTTGAACGATGAGAGATGCGGTTGAACGATGAGAGATGCGGTTGAACGATGAGAGATGCGGTTGAACGATGAGAGATGCGGTTGAACGATGAGAGATGCGGTTGAACGATGAGAGATGCGGTTGAACGATGAGAGATGCGGTTGAACGATGAGAGATGCGGTTGAACGATGAGAGATGCGGTTGAACGATGAGAGATGCGGTTGAACGATGAGAGATGCGGTTGAACGATGAGAGATGCGGTTGAACGATGAGAGATGCGGTTGAACGATGAGAGATGCGGTTGAACGATGAGAGATGCGGTTGAACGATGAGAGATGCGGTTGAACGATGAGAGATGCGGTTGAACGATGAGAGATGCGGTTGAACGATGAGAGATGCGGTTGAACGATGAGAGATGCGGTTGAACGATGAGAGATGCGGTTGAACGATGAGAGATGCGGTTGAACGATGAGAGATGCGGTTGAACGATGAGAGATGCGGTTGAACGATGAGAGATGCGGTTGAACGATGAGAGATGCGGTTGAACGATGAGAGATGCGGTTGAACGATGAGAGATGCGGTTGAACGATGAGAGATGCGGTTGAACGATGAGAGATGCGGTTGAACGATGAGAGATGCGGTTGAACGATGAGAGATGCGGTTGAACGATGAGAGATGCGGTTGAACGATGAGAGATGCGGTTGAACGATGAGAGATGCGGTTGAACGATGAGAGATGCGGTTGAACGATGAGAGATGCGGTTGAACGATGAGAGATGCGGTTGAACGATGAGAGATGCGGTTGAACGATGAGAGATGCGGTTGAACGATGAGAGATGCGGTTGAACGATGAGAGATGCGGTTGAACGATGAGAGATGCGGTTGAACGATGAGAGATGCGGTTGAACGATGAGAGATGCGGTTGAACGATGAGAGATGCGGTTGAACGATGAGAGATGCGGTTGAACGATGAGAGATGCGGTTGAACGATGAGAGATGCGGTTGAACGATGAGAGATGCGGTTGAACGATGAGAGATGCGGTTGAACGATGAGAGATGCGGTTGAACGATGAGAGATGCGGTTGAACGATGAGAGATGCGGTTGAACGATGAGAGATGCGGTTGAACGATGAGAGATGCGGTTGAACGATGAGAGATGCGGTTGAACGATGAGAGATGCGGTTGAACGATGAGAGATGCGGTTGAACGATGAGAGATGCGGTTGAACGATGAGAGATGCGGTTGAACGATGAGAGATGCGGTTGAACGATGAGAGATGCGGTTGAACGATGAGAGATGCGGTTGAACGATGAGAGATGCGGTTGAACGATGAGAGATGCGGTTGAACGATGAGAGATGCGGTTGAACGATGAGAGATGCGGTTGAACGATGAGAGATGCGGTTGAACGATGAGAGATGCGGTTGAACGATGAGAGATGCGGTTGAACGATGAGAGATGCGGTTGAACGATGAGAGATGCGGTTGAACGATGAGAGATGCGGTTGAACGATGAGAGATGCGGTTGAACGATGAGAGATGCGGTTGAACGATGAGAGATGCGGTTGAACGATGAGAGATGCGGTTGAACGATGAGAGATGCGGTTGAACGATGAGAGATGCGGTTGAACGATGAGAGATGCGGTTGAACGATGAGAGATGCGGTTGAACGATGAGAGATGCGGTTGAACGATGAGAGATGCGGTTGAACGATGAGAGATGCGGTTGAACGATGAGAGATGCGGTTGAACGATGAGAGATGCGGTTGAACGATGAGAGATGCGGTTGAACGATGAGAGATGCGGTTGAACGATGAGAGATGCGGTTGAACGATGAGAGATGCGGTTGAACGATGAGAGATGCGGTTGAACGATGAGAGATGCGGTTGAACGATGAGAGATGCGGTTGAACGATGAGAGATGCGGTTGAACGATGAGAGATGCGGTTGAACGATGAGAGATGCGGTTGAACGATGAGAGATGCGGTTGAACGATGAGAGATGCGGTTGAACGATGAGAGATGCGGTTGAACGATGAGAGATGCGGTTGAACGATGAGAGATGCGGTTGAACGATGAGAGATGCGGTTGAACGATGAGAGATGCGGTTGAACGATGAGAGATGCGGTTGAACGATGAGAGATGCGGTTGAACGATGAGAGATGCGGTTGAACGATGAGAGATGCGGTTGAACGATGAGAGATGCGGTTGAACGATGAGAGATGCGGTTGAACGATGAGAGATGCGGTTGAACGATGAGAGATGCGGTTGAACGATGAGAGATGCGGTTGAACGATGAGAGATGCGGTTGAACGATGAGAGATGCGGTTGAACGATGAGAGATGCGGTTGAACGATGAGAGATGCGGTTGAACGATGAGAGATGCGGTTGAACGATGAGAGATGCGGTTGAACGATGAGAGATGCGGTTGAACGATGAGAGATGCGGTTGAACGATGAGAGATGCGGTTGAACGATGAGAGATGCGGTTGAACGATGAGAGATGCGGTTGAACGATGAGAGATGCGGTTGAACGATGAGAGATGCGGTTGAACGATGAGAGATGCGGTTGAACGATGAGAGATGCGGTTGAACGATGAGAGATGCGGTTGAACGATGAGAGATGCGGTTGAACGATGAGAGATGCGGTTGAACGATGAGAGATGCGGTTGAACGATGAGAGATGCGGTTGAACGATGAGAGATGCGGTTGAACGATGAGAGATGCGGTTGAACGATGAGAGATGCGGTTGAACGATGAGAGATGCGGTTGAACGATGAGAGATGCGGTTGAACGATGAGAGATGCGGTTGAACGATGAGAGATGCGGTTGAACGATGAGAGATGCGGTTGAACGATGAGAGATGCGGTTGAACGATGAGAGATGCGGTTGAACGATGAGAGATGCGGTTGAACGATGAGAGATGCGGTTGAACGATGAGAGATGCGGTTGAACGATGAGAGATGCGGTTGAACGATGAGAGATGCGGTTGAACGATGAGAGATGCGGTTGAACGATGAGAGATGCGGTTGAACGATGAGAGATGCGGTTGAACGATGAGAGATGCGGTTGAACGATGAGAGATGCGGTTGAACGATGAGAGATGCGGTTGAACGATGAGAGATGCGGTTGAACGATGAGAGATGCGGTTGAACGATGAGAGATGCGGTTGAACGATGAGAGATGCGGTTGAACGATGAGAGATGCGGTTGAACGATGAGAGATGCGGTTGAACGATGAGAGATGCGGTTGAACGATGAGAGATGCGGTTGAACGATGAGAGATGCGGTTGAACGATGAGAGATGCGGTTGAACGATGAGAGATGCGGTTGAACGATGAGAGATGCGGTTGAACGATGAGAGATGCGGTTGAACGATGAGAGATGCGGTTGAACGATGAGAGATGCGGTTGAACGATGAGAGATGCGGTTGAACGATGAGAGATGCGGTTGAACGATGAGAGATGCGGTTGAACGATGAGAGATGCGGTTGAACGATGAGAGATGCGGTTGAACGATGAGAGATGCGGTTGAACGATGAGAGATGCGGTTGAACGATGAGAGATGCGGTTGAACGATGAGAGATGCGGTTGAACGATGAGAGATGCGGTTGAACGATGAGAGATGCGGTTGAACGATGAGAGATGCGGTTGAACGATGAGAGATGCGGTTGAACGATGAGAGATGCGGTTGAACGATGAGAGATGCGGTTGAACGATGAGAGATGCGGTTGAACGATGAGAGATGCGGTTGAACGATGAGAGATGCGGTTGAACGATGAGAGATGCGGTTGAACGATGAGAGATGCGGTTGAACGATGAGAGATGCGGTTGAACGATGAGAGATGCGGTTGAACGATGAGAGATGCGGTTGAACGATGAGAGATGCGGTTGAACGATGAGAGATGCGGTTGAACGATGAGAGATGCGGTTGAACGATGAGAGATGCGGTTGAACGATGAGAGATGCGGTTGAACGATGAGAGATGCGGTTGAACGATGAGAGATGCGGTTGAACGATGAGAGATGCGGTTGAACGATGAGAGATGCGGTTGAACGATGAGAGATGCGGTTGAACGATGAGAGATGCGGTTGAACGATGAGAGATGCGGTTGAACGATGAGAGATGCGGTTGAACGATGAGAGATGCGGTTGAACGATGAGAGATGCGGTTGAACGATGAGAGATGCGGTTGAACGATGAGAGATGCGGTTGAACGATGAGAGATGCGGTTGAACGATGAGAGATGCGGTTGAACGATGAGAGATGCGGTTGAACGATGAGAGATGCGGTTGAACGATGAGAGATGCGGTTGAACGATGAGAGATGCGGTTGAACGATGAGAGATGCGGTTGAACGATGAGAGATGCGGTTGAACGATGAGAGATGCGGTTGAACGATGAGAGATGCGGTTGAACGATGAGAGATGCGGTTGAACGATGAGAGATGCGGTTGAACGATGAGAGATGCGGTTGAACGATGAGAGATGCGGTTGAACGATGAGAGATGCGGTTGAACGATGAGAGATGCGGTTGAACGATGAGAGATGCGGTTGAACGATGAGAGATGCGGTTGAACGATGAGAGATGCGGTTGAACGATGAGAGATGCGGTTGAACGATGAGAGATGCGGTTGAACGATGAGAGATGCGGTTGAACGATGAGAGATGCGGTTGAACGATGAGAGATGCGGTTGAACGATGAGAGATGCGGTTGAACGATGAGAGATGCGGTTGAACGATGAGAGATGCGGTTGAACGATGAGAGATGCGGTTGAACGATGAGAGATGCGGTTGAACGATGAGAGATGCGGTTGAACGATGAGAGATGCGGTTGAACGATGAGAGATGCGGTTGAACGATGAGAGATGCGGTTGAACGATGAGAGATGCGGTTGAACGATGAGAGATGCGGTTGAACGATGAGAGATGCGGTTGAACGATGAGAGATGCGGTTGAACGATGAGAGATGCGGTTGAACGATGAGAGATGCGGTTGAACGATGAGAGATGCGGTTGAACGATGAGAGATGCGGTTGAACGATGAGAGATGCGGTTGAACGATGAGAGATGCGGTTGAACGATGAGAGATGCGGTTGAACGATGAGAGATGCGGTTGAACGATGAGAGATGCGGTTGAACGATGAGAGATGCGGTTGAACGATGAGAGATGCGGTTGAACGATGAGAGATGCGGTTGAACGATGAGAGATGCGGTTGAACGATGAGAGATGCGGTTGAACGATGAGAGATGCGGTTGAACGATGAGAGATGCGGTTGAACGATGAGAGATGCGGTTGAACGATGAGAGATGCGGTTGAACGATGAGAGATGCGGTTGAACGATGAGAGATGCGGTTGAACGATGAGAGATGCGGTTGAACGATGAGAGATGCGGTTGAACGATGAGAGATGCGGTTGAACGATGAGAGATGCGGTTGAACGATGAGAGATGCGGTTGAACGATGAGAGATGCGGTTGAACGATGAGAGATGCGGTTGAACGATGAGAGATGCGGTTGAACGATGAGAGATGCGGTTGAACGATGAGAGATGCGGTTGAACGATGAGAGATGCGGTTGAACGATGAGAGATGCGGTTGAACGATGAGAGATGCGGTTGAACGATGAGAGATGCGGTTGAACGATGAGAGATGCGGTTGAACGATGAGAGATGCGGTTGAACGATGAGAGATGCGGTTGAACGATGAGAGATGCGGTTGAACGATGAGAGATGCGGTTGAACGATGAGAGATGCGGTTGAACGATGAGAGATGCGGTTGAACGATGAGAGATGCGGTTGAACGATGAGAGATGCGGTTGAACGATGAGAGATGCGGTTGAACGATGAGAGATGCGGTTGAACGATGAGAGATGCGGTTGAACGATGAGAGATGCGGTTGAACGATGAGAGATGCGGTTGAACGATGAGAGATGCGGTTGAACGATGAGAGATGCGGTTGAACGATGAGAGATGCGGTTGAACGATGAGAGATGCGGTTGAACGATGAGAGATGCGGTTGAACGATGAGAGATGCGGTTGAACGATGAGAGATGCGGTTGAACGATGAGAGATGCGGTTGAACGATGAGAGATGCGGTTGAACGATGAGAGATGCGGTTGAACGATGAGAGATGCGGTTGAACGATGAGAGATGCGGTTGAACGATGAGAGATGCGGTTGAACGATGAGAGATGCGGTTGAACGATGAGAGATGCGGTTGAACGATGAGAGATGCGGTTGAACGATGAGAGATGCGGTTGAACGATGAGAGATGCGGTTGAACGATGAGAGATGCGGTTGAACGATGAGAGATGCGGTTGAACGATGAGAGATGCGGTTGAACGATGAGAGATGCGGTTGAACGATGAGAGATGCGGTTGAACGATGAGAGATGCGGTTGAACGATGAGAGATGCGGTTGAACGATGAGAGATGCGGTTGAACGATGAGAGATGCGGTTGAACGATGAGAGATGCGGTTGAACGATGAGAGATGCGGTTGAACGATGAGAGATGCGGTTGAACGATGAGAGATGCGGTTGAACGATGAGAGATGCGGTTGAACGATGAGAGATGCGGTTGAACGATGAGAGATGCGGTTGAACGATGAGAGATGCGGTTGAACGATGAGAGATGCGGTTGAACGATGAGAGATGCGGTTGAACGATGAGAGATGCGGTTGAACGATGAGAGATGCGGTTGAACGATGAGAGATGCGGTTGAACGATGAGAGATGCGGTTGAACGATGAGAGATGCGGTTGAACGATGAGAGATGCGGTTGAACGATGAGAGATGCGGTTGAACGATGAGAGATGCGGTTGAACGATGAGAGATGCGGTTGAACGATGAGAGATGCGGTTGAACGATGAGAGATGCGGTTGAACGATGAGAGATGCGGTTGAACGATGAGAGATGCGGTTGAACGATGAGAGATGCGGTTGAACGATGAGAGATGCGGTTGAACGATGAGAGATGCGGTTGAACGATGAGAGATGCGGTTGAACGATGAGAGATGCGGTTGAACGATGAGAGATGCGGTTGAACGATGAGAGATGCGGTTGAACGATGAGAGATGCGGTTGAACGATGAGAGATGCGGTTGAACGATGAGAGATGCGGTTGAACGATGAGAGATGCGGTTGAACGATGAGAGATGCGGTTGAACGATGAGAGATGCGGTTGAACGATGAGAGATGCGGTTGAACGATGAGAGATGCGGTTGAACGATGAGAGATGCGGTTGAACGATGAGAGATGCGGTTGAACGATGAGAGATGCGGTTGAACGATGAGAGATGCGGTTGAACGATGAGAGATGCGGTTGAACGATGAGAGATGCGGTTGAACGATGAGAGATGCGGTTGAACGATGAGAGATGCGGTTGAACGATGAGAGATGCGGTTGAACGATGAGAGATGCGGTTGAACGATGAGAGATGCGGTTGAACGATGAGAGATGCGGTTGAACGATGAGAGATGCGGTTGAACGATGAGAGATGCGGTTGAACGATGAGAGATGCGGTTGAACGATGAGAGATGCGGTTGAACGATGAGAGATGCGGTTGAACGATGAGAGATGCGGTTGAACGATGAGAGATGCGGTTGAACGATGAGAGATGCGGTTGAACGATGAGAGATGCGGTTGAACGATGAGAGATGCGGTTGAACGATGAGAGATGCGGTTGAACGATGAGAGATGCGGTTGAACGATGAGAGATGCGGTTGAACGATGAGAGATGCGGTTGAACGATGAGAGATGCGGTTGAACGATGAGAGATGCGGTTGAACGATGAGAGATGCGGTTGAACGATGAGAGATGCGGTTGAACGATGAGAGATGCGGTTGAACGATGAGAGATGCGGTTGAACGATGAGAGATGCGGTTGAACGATGAGAGATGCGGTTGAACGATGAGAGATGCGGTTGAACGATGAGAGATGCGGTTGAACGATGAGAGATGCGGTTGAACGATGAGAGATGCGGTTGAACGATGAGAGATGCGGTTGAACGATGAGAGATGCGGTTGAACGATGAGAGATGCGGTTGAACGATGAGAGATGCGGTTGAACGATGAGAGATGCGGTTGAACGATGAGAGATGCGGTTGAACGATGAGAGATGCGGTTGAACGATGAGAGATGCGGTTGAACGATGAGAGATGCGGTTGAACGATGAGAGATGCGGTTGAACGATGAGAGATGCGGTTGAACGATGAGAGATGCGGTTGAACGATGAGAGATGCGGTTGAACGATGAGAGATGCGGTTGAACGATGAGAGATGCGGTTGAACGATGAGAGATGCGGTTGAACGATGAGAGATGCGGTTGAACGATGAGAGATGCGGTTGAACGATGAGAGATGCGGTTGAACGATGAGAGATGCGGTTGAACGATGAGAGATGCGGTTGAACGATGAGAGATGCGGTTGAACGATGAGAGATGCGGTTGAACGATGAGAGATGCGGTTGAACGATGAGAGATGCGGTTGAACGATGAGAGATGCGGTTGAACGATGAGAGATGCGGTTGAACGATGAGAGATGCGGTTGAACGATGAGAGATGCGGTTGAACGATGAGAGATGCGGTTGAACGATGAGAGATGCGGTTGAACGATGAGAGATGCGGTTGAACGATGAGAGATGCGGTTGAACGATGAGAGATGCGGTTGAACGATGAGAGATGCGGTTGAACGATGAGAGATGCGGTTGAACGATGAGAGATGCGGTTGAACGATGAGAGATGCGGTTGAACGATGAGAGATGCGGTTGAACGATGAGAGATGCGGTTGAACGATGAGAGATGCGGTTGAACGATGAGAGATGCGGTTGAACGATGAGAGATGCGGTTGAACGATGAGAGATGCGGTTGAACGATGAGAGATGCGGTTGAACGATGAGAGATGCGGTTGAACGATGAGAGATGCGGTTGAACGATGAGAGATGCGGTTGAACGATGAGAGATGCGGTTGAACGATGAGAGATGCGGTTGAACGATGAGAGATGCGGTTGAACGATGAGAGATGCGGTTGAACGATGAGAGATGCGGTTGAACGATGAGAGATGCGGTTGAACGATGAGAGATGCGGTTGAACGATGAGAGATGCGGTTGAACGATGAGAGATGCGGTTGAACGATGAGAGATGCGGTTGAACGATGAGAGATGCGGTTGAACGATGAGAGATGCGGTTGAACGATGAGAGATGCGGTTGAACGATGAGAGATGCGGTTGAACGATGAGAGATGCGGTTGAACGATGAGAGATGCGGTTGAACGATGAGAGATGCGGTTGAACGATGAGAGATGCGGTTGAACGATGAGAGATGCGGTTGAACGATGAGAGATGCGGTTGAACGATGAGAGATGCGGTTGAACGATGAGAGATGCGGTTGAACGATGAGAGATGCGGTTGAACGATGAGAGATGCGGTTGAACGATGAGAGATGCGGTTGAACGATGAGAGATGCGGTTGAACGATGAGAGATGCGGTTGAACGATGAGAGATGCGGTTGAACGATGAGAGATGCGGTTGAACGATGAGAGATGCGGTTGAACGATGAGAGATGCGGTTGAACGATGAGAGATGCGGTTGAACGATGAGAGATGCGGTTGAACGATGAGAGATGCGGTTGAACGATGAGAGATGCGGTTGAACGATGAGAGATGCGGTTGAACGATGAGAGATGCGGTTGAACGATGAGAGATGCGGTTGAACGATGAGAGATGCGGTTGAACGATGAGAGATGCGGTTGAACGATGAGAGATGCGGTTGAACGATGAGAGATGCGGTTGAACGATGAGAGATGCGGTTGAACGATGAGAGATGCGGTTGAACGATGAGAGATGCGGTTGAACGATGAGAGATGCGGTTGAACGATGAGAGATGCGGTTGAACGATGAGAGATGCGGTTGAACGATGAGAGATGCGGTTGAACGATGAGAGATGCGGTTGAACGATGAGAGATGCGGTTGAACGATGAGAGATGCGGTTGAACGATGAGAGATGCGGTTGAACGATGAGAGATGCGGTTGAACGATGAGAGATGCGGTTGAACGATGAGAGATGCGGTTGAACGATGAGAGATGCGGTTGAACGATGAGAGATGCGGTTGAACGATGAGAGATGCGGTTGAACGATGAGAGATGCGGTTGAACGATGAGAGATGCGGTTGAACGATGAGAGATGCGGTTGAACGATGAGAGATGCGGTTGAACGATGAGAGATGCGGTTGAACGATGAGAGATGCGGTTGAACGATGAGAGATGCGGTTGAACGATGAGAGATGCGGTTGAACGATGAGAGATGCGGTTGAACGATGAGAGATGCGGTTGAACGATGAGAGATGCGGTTGAACGATGAGAGATGCGGTTGAACGATGAGAGATGCGGTTGAACGATGAGAGATGCGGTTGAACGATGAGAGATGCGGTTGAACGATGAGAGATGCGGTTGAACGATGAGAGATGCGGTTGAACGATGAGAGATGCGGTTGAACGATGAGAGATGCGGTTGAACGATGAGAGATGCGGTTGAACGATGAGAGATGCGGTTGAACGATGAGAGATGCGGTTGAACGATGAGAGATGCGGTTGAACGATGAGAGATGCGGTTGAACGATGAGAGATGCGGTTGAACGATGAGAGATGCGGTTGAACGATGAGAGATGCGGTTGAACGATGAGAGATGCGGTTGAACGATGAGAGATGCGGTTGAACGATGAGAGATGCGGTTGAACGATGAGAGATGCGGTTGAACGATGAGAGATGCGGTTGAACGATGAGAGATGCGGTTGAACGATGAGAGATGCGGTTGAACGATGAGAGATGCGGTTGAACGATGAGAGATGCGGTTGAACGATGAGAGATGCGGTTGAACGATGAGAGATGCGGTTGAACGATGAGAGATGCGGTTGAACGATGAGAGATGCGGTTGAACGATGAGAGATGCGGTTGAACGATGAGAGATGCGGTTGAACGATGAGAGATGCGGTTGAACGATGAGAGATGCGGTTGAACGATGAGAGATGCGGTTGAACGATGAGAGATGCGGTTGAACGATGAGAGATGCGGTTGAACGATGAGAGATGCGGTTGAACGATGAGAGATGCGGTTGAACGATGAGAGATGCGGTTGAACGATGAGAGATGCGGTTGAACGATGAGAGATGCGGTTGAACGATGAGAGATGCGGTTGAACGATGAGAGATGCGGTTGAACGATGAGAGATGCGGTTGAACGATGAGAGATGCGGTTGAACGATGAGAGATGCGGTTGAACGATGAGAGATGCGGTTGAACGATGAGAGATGCGGTTGAACGATGAGAGATGCGGTTGAACGATGAGAGATGCGGTTGAACGATGAGAGATGCGGTTGAACGATGAGAGATGCGGTTGAACGATGAGAGATGCGGTTGAACGATGAGAGATGCGGTTGAACGATGAGAGATGCGGTTGAACGATGAGAGATGTGCAGGTTGAGCAGGTCCCCCCCCACCAGAAACAGCTGCGAGGTTGCTGCCCCAGGCACGCAGTACCTGATGGGTTGATGCGGGAGAGAGAAAAAGGAGTTAGACGGAGGAGGGCGAGGGAGGGGCGCGATACGAATGTGAAAGGGCGAGCGAGTATGTGAAGCATACACATGCGGGAAGCAGATGAGTGCTTTGCTGGGAAGCACTGACCTGCTGTGGAGAGGCGAGCATGGGCAGGCAGGCAGCGTGGGTGGTGGTGTTGGGAGGCAGGTGCACGAGAGGGCTGCGGAAGAGTGCATGGGAGACTGGCACCCCCGTGTCAAACACAACCCCAGGTGTGCCTGCCACCATGCCAACACCACCATCCCCTGCCGTCCCACCACCATCACCATCATCAGCATCAGCGACAGCATCAGCATCACCAGCAGCAGCGCCAACACTCCCACTGCTCCCATCACCTCTCCTCATCTCGTCAAGGCCAGGGCAGTGCAGCAGAATGTTATCAATCTGACCCACACATGCCCCAGGGGGTCCGTGCCAACAAACCACCTGAGACACCTGAACGGGCCGCCTGAATTTTCTCCTGAACTCAGCAGTGGTGAAGACGGTGGGGCCTATGCAGGACCGGAGATAGGCGAGGTCGAGCACCAAGTGCAGGTCGTAGTTGAGGATGGTTTCAGAGCGGTGGAAAGGGATAATGAGGGTGCGGTTGAGCAGGCCTGCGAGGAGCATGTGGTTGCGCAGGCAGAGCAGACGATTGGTGATCTGCGCGTGTAAGGATGAGGAAGAGAGAGAGAGAGAGAGAGAGAGAGAGAGAGAGAGAGAGAGAGAGAGAGAGAGAGAGAGAGAGAGAGAGAGAGAGAGAGAGAGAGAGAGAGAGAGAGAGAGAGAAGGCACAACGATAGGGACGGGATGAGTGTGGCACATCTCTGTCACATGAATGTGCAAACCGAGCAACAGGCCTTACCTCTGTCTCTAACACCTTGCATGCCTCTCAAAATGGTCAAAGATCGCGCATTTCTGATCTGCCCTCGCACGCAGTGAGCCAGCAGGAACCGGTTGCTTGCAGGCGTCCATCTCACAGTGCCACGTGTCAGCGCGCCCTGCTCCCACGTGGCATTGAAGAGAGCACCTGACCCCTCCGCGCATTCCTGCAGCAACGGATGGCTGCGGGGAAGGTGTGAGGGGAAGGGGGGGGGGGTTTGGGGGTGGGGAGTGTTGGGGGGAAGCAGGACGGGGCGAGAGACGGAGTGACCGAGAGACTGAAAGGTGTAGAAGTGGATCGAGGTTGGGGGAAGAGATGCGGAAAGCGAGGGAGCGGAGGAAACGGGGGAAGCGGAACGTGAGAATTGGTTGGTGCGAGAAAGGAGCCAGGGCGCGAGAGAGGCGGGAAGTAAAATACGCACGTGTTGAAAGCTGATTGAGTGCGCCGCAGAACGCATGCCACGACGGCCAATAGGAGCAACGGAAATGACGTCCGCTTCATGGCGAATGTGAGGCGAACCAGGGATAACACCTGGTTACCAGCGACACTGGCGAAATGGCGAGGGGGCTGCAAGCAAGGTATGCTGAGGCTGCTTCATGAGGAGGAAAGTGCTCGAGTAGGAGACTGCAGCAACTAACAGGAGCTCGAATGCGTTACTTAGATTCAATGGCTCACGGTAACGCCGATCCTAGCATATCTAGTTAGGTGCCTCGTCAGCGCTAATGCATCCAACCTGCTCTGGTGAGCTCATGGCGTATAGTGAAGGAATCCATGCTACCTTGTCGTGCGGAAATAAAAACGCAACCGGAAGCAGTTGCACAACTGCTATCGCAGCGCAAACTGCTAAAGCTGTTAGTATCATTAGGAATTATCCAGTACAAATCTAGTCCATGCCTCGTCTCCTGAGCAAGCCCATCAGTTGTATGGGCTTCCGAAAGCGCAGCGAGCAGATGTTCTAGGCTTGCCCATACAAGTCCCATCCCATCAGCGGTGATTGCGCAGGTGGTACCACCTGTGAATGAAGGGAGATCATCAGGTTGGGTACGATTCAGAGCGACACAGTTCTTCGGGGTTGAACGCCGTGCAAAACTGAAACGCAGGAATTCAATCTGGTCGCATCTTCGTAAATCCTTGGCTTCGGATTTGCTGCTTGAAACATTCTGTTACAGTTCGCCATCGCAGTTTCGCCACTGCCGAAATCCATGCGAACTTCAGAGTGCCTAGCTAACGAACTTCGTCATTCCCCCGCCCCATCTTGCGCACGAATCATCTCCTCCCCCACTGCCTTATCACCAACTTCACCAAACTTCGCTCGAGAGAATGACTCTAGTACTCACGAGAAATGTGGTCATAGATTCTAAGCATGCGCGAGTCGCGACGTGAGTTGCAGACCTAGTTTTCATATCTTTCTCCTTTGCTCCTGTCGCCTAAGCAGGAGCTCGCCTTGCATCCAATTCGCCTTGCATAGCTGCAGCGTCGATTGCTCATCTGCCAACGGGCTGTCTCATGGTGATGTAGCTCTGCGATTCGCTCTCCACGGAATGCCGTTTGAATTTATCTTCCCTCTCCGCCACGATCTGACTGTACCGCTCGTCCCGTTGGCTCGGCGCGCCTGCAGCATTAGATCCAGACACAGGCCCGCCTGCCGAACCAATCGTGGTCGCCGAAGCACCCGTGGTCGTGGAACCAAACGTGCCTGCCGAACCACCGATGCCCGCCGAACCAGCTTCCCCAGCCGAACCAACGGAGAACGCTGAGAATAGATCGCCGACCACGTTCTCGTCTTCCTCCTCTACCGTGTGGACCTTGAGCATCGCATCCAGCCGCCTCACCACGTCCTTCATTTCTGGCCGTCGGATCCCAGGCATCTTGATGCAATCAAGGGCCAGATCTGCGAGTTCGACGACGGCATCCTCTGAGGCCTCCATTCGACGGTCCTTGAGCTCGTCGAGCGAGTAGGTCTGCACCAGCGCGGTCGCCTGCGTGAAAACGCACACATTTCGCGAAATAGAGACCGAAAGGTTACCCATGTGCCTCGTGAATCGCACACTGAACGCGCAAAATACGAACCAAAGCCATCAGTTCAAATCATGGAAACAGAAATAACGCGCAAGTACCAACGCTGCGGGTGTGTTGCGCAATGCGGAAAGCAGTGTGGTACGCAGTACGCACCCATTTGCCGATGTGCGTGCTGCCCTCCACAGTGACGCGGCGCCCGCTGAGCATTTCCAGTAGCACGACGCCGAAGCTGTAGACGTCGCTCTTGGTGGTAACCAGCTCTGTACGATTGTAGTCCGGGTCCACGTACCCCGGCGTGCCCGCCACCTTGGTCGCCCGCCCCTCGCCCTCCCCAAACTTGAGCTTCCTCAGCAGCCCAAAGTCCGCAACCTTGGCCTGAGCGGGTGGAAAGGGGGAGGGGAGGGAAGGGGTAGGGTGGGGGGTAGCAAGCATGAGGTTATTCTGAGATGGTTCCAGGAAAGGCACCCTCGCCCTCCCCGATCTTGAGCTTCCTCAGCAGCCCAAAGTCCACAACCTTTGCCTGAGCGGGTGGGAGGTGGTGGGGGGGTGTGAGAGAGGAGGGAGTAGCTAACAGTGAGGTGCGGGAAAGGCAAGGCACGGCTGGAGGTTCGTTCTCGGGTGCGGGCAAGGTCAGGCAAGGCCAGAGGCTCACAGTGAGGTGTGGACAAGGGTAGAGGCTCACGGTGAGGTTATCCCCGACGAGGATGTTGGCGGGCTTGATGTCGCGGTGAATGATGGGATTCTCAAAGCCGTGCAGATATGCCAACCCCTCCGCTGCCCCCACCGCCAGCTTCAACCGCTGCCTCAGCGTCAGCGGCTCTGAGGAGAGAGGGTGGGGCGGGAGGGGTGGAGAGAGGGGTGGAGGGAGGGGTGGAGGGAGGGGTGGAGGGAGGGGTGGAGGGAGGGGTGGAGGGAGGGGTGGAGGGAGGGGTGGAGGGAGGGGTGGAGGGAGGGGTGGAGGGAGGGGTGGAGGGAGGGGTGGAGGGAGGGGTGGAGGGAGGGGTGGAGGGAGGGGTGGAGGGAGGGGTGGAGGGAGGGGTGGAGGGAGGGGTGGAGGGAGGGGTGGAGGGAGGGGTGGGGGAGGGGTGGAGGGAGGGGTGGAGGGAGGGGTGGAGGGAGGGGTGGAGGGAGAAGGGGACAAAGAGTGTTGAGAGGGTGGGGTGGGTGAATTGTTGCAGAGCCTGGTTCAGTTGTTGCAGCAGAGAGAGGGATGGTGAGAGAGGGATGGTGAGAGAGGGATGGTGAGAGAGGTCCCCAAGTAGCACGATCTCAGCACACACTCACTCTGCGTCTTGAAGAGGTGGAAAGAGAGGTCCCCGTGCTCTACAAACTCGTACACGAGGATCTGCTCCTGCTTGCCACTCTCCATGTCCATGTCGTGACAGAACCCCAGCAGCCGCACCAGGTTGGCGTGATGTAGGCTGGCCATGGCTCGCACCTGGGGAGGAGGCGAGAGAAGGTACAAGTATGGAGGGTTTGTTGAAACGGGACAGGAGAGACAGGAATGACAGCAGGCATGTCCAGGTTCGCTTGACCAGGCTGACTTGCAACAGCAGACTCGCCTCTTGAGAAAAAACACAGGTCACGCCTCCTTGTGAGCCCATGCTTCAGTTCTGTACTCGCCTCCGTTTCAAAGTCATTGGACATGAGAGTGATGCGCTTGACGGCCCAGAGCTGCCCCGTGGTGGGGTTAACTCCCTTGTACACGACAGCGAAGTCTCCCTCTTAACACACTCCATACTCGCTATAAGCATCCTCACCTCGGTTTCAAAGTCATTGGACATGAGGGTGATGCGCTTGACGGCCCAGAGCTGCCCCGTGGTGGGGTTGACGCCCTTGTACACGACAGCAAAGCCCCCCTCGCCCAGCACGTTCTCCTCTGCCCAGTCGTTGGTGGCCTTGCGCATCGTGGCAATCGAAAACTGCTGACACACGTCCAGGTCGCTCCATCGCTCTGGGGGGAGGGAGAGGGTGGCAGGGGGAGAGAGGAGGGCGGGGTTGAGTTGAGAGCAGGACATCTAGGGCTGAAGTGCGGCGATCTAGAGCTCCTGGCACACGTCCTGGCCGCCCCATCGCCGTGGGGAGAGGGAGAGGAGGAACAGGCGAAGATAATGGGGGAAAGGGATGCAATATATCCATTGAAGACAGTAAGCAAAAGGGCAATGCATAGAGCCGAACGGGCGGTGTGGAGTGAAGGAACTTACTCTTCTTTTTGGGGCGTAGCAGCAGGCAGAGCACGGACGCCAGCAACGCGATTCCCAGCAGGCAGCTCAGGCCCACGATGCCTATCGTGGGGATGGAGGATGAGCTTGCTGCGGGGCAGGGGAGGGCAGGGACATGGGAGCGAGGGCACGAGGGCAAGGGTGAATGGGCAAGGGAGTTTGCAGGAAGTGAGTTGAGGTGCAGGAAGGCAAGCAGAGCAGACCTGATGTGCATTTAACAATTTTTCCCTTCTTACTTTGAGCTGATTATTCACCCTCGGTGGCAAAAGTGTGGGTGGCGTCACAGGCAAGAGTGATAGAGACGTATGGCGCCTCACACAAGCACCCCAACCGACCTCAACGGTCAACCCACCTGAACTGCCCGGTGACCCGTAGACTGCCTTTCGACATCCCCTCTAGTTGGGTTGAACTTCTTACTTAAGAGTCTTCACTCACTCTCAGTAGGAAACGCGCACGTGGAGCCGTTGTCAACAGTGACAGTAAGATAGGGTGCCTCACATAAGCACCTGAACTCACCTGTTCAGAGGAGCTTAGATTGCCTCTTGAGCTGATTACTCACTCTCAGTGGGGAAGGCACAGGTGGAGCCGTTGTCAACAGTGACAGTGACGTAGGGCGCCTCACACCTGCACTTGAACGCGGCGCCAGTATCCCCCTGCGCAGGCGGCACACACGCCCCCCTCCCATTGCACGGGCCCAGGTCCGTCACACTGCAGAACGCCGCGCACTCCTGTGCATCCCTCTGCACCTCCGTCACCGAGCACTTCACCTGCCTGTTCACCGACAGGCAGTTGCCCTTATAGCTCGCCTGCACAGTCGCATACGCCTGAACACACTGCACAGCCTCTTTCAGCGAATCAGATTCGCTGCGCTCGCTCCCCCCTGTGCTGTCCCCTAGAGTGTTGAGATTAGACATGTTGATTCGGGTGATGCGGGGGGTGGGGCACGCCTTAAAGCCCCCGGCATACACAACAGGGTCTCCGTAAAAGTAGTTATGGGCGAGGTTGATGACGGCTGGCCTGGTGAAGCCGCTGGTGGGCTTGGGGACCATGCCCACAAAGTCCATGTTGATTGGGCCGTAGAACGAGTTGTTGCTCATGTCGCTGGGGGGACAGGAGGGAGGGAGGGAGTGGGAGGAAGGGGGAGCGGCGGGGCAGGGGGGATAAAGGAGAGACGCGAGAAGCATTGATGGGGGGAAAAGGTCGATTAAGCGTGGTGGGGGTCATGCCGACAAAGTACAGGTTGACAGGGCCGTAGAAGGGAATGTTGCTCATGTCGCTGGGGGGAGGGGGGAAAGGGGGAGTGGAATGGGGGGAGGGGGGAAAGGGGGAGTGGAATGGGGGGAGTTGGAGTGGGGAGAGAGATGCATCGACAGAAGGGATGGCTTGAGGAGAATTGGGTCAGATGCGGTGGAGAAGGGTTTGAATGGAGTGACTTGAGGGTTCACACTTTGTTGAGGGCTCACACTTTATTGAGTGCTCACATGTAGTTGAGGGCAGGGAAGTTGAACAGGCAGGTGGGGAAGCTGCCGTAGAGACGATTGTTGCTCAACCCACTGTGGCATGTAGAGCACACACACAGTGACACAGATACAGGTAAACACATGCATGTGCACACACATATATGAACACACACATGTGAACACATACCCACGCAGGTGCATGTACATACCATGTGCACACCCGCAGCGTTGCAAAGACACGTGAATTTACATGCGTTGCACACAAGCTGGATAGATGCATGGCGCACCGACAACCAAGGTAAAGACATGCAAATCTGTGATCATCAATTCACGCACCCATGCATGCAGCTATGCTCATCATCAGGACGTAAGCAACACTCACATGCTTAAGAGCCAAAGAGCCATGCCTTGGGCCCCTCTCTCACAACCCCCAGTGAAGCAACACTGTGTGTGAATCAGCCACATATAAGCTTGGAGCCTGATCCTTGTATTGACACTCACACTCACATTGACTCTAACTCACACCAACTCACATGGCCTCTAACGCCGTGAAGTTGCAGATGCCTGCAGGCAACTGCCCTTCGAACGCATTGCCGTCCAAGAGGCTGTGGCACGCATGCCGTAGGCACGGGGGGAGCATGGGTAAGCATGGGGGCAGCATGGGTAAGCATGGGGGGAGCATGGGTAGGCATGGGGTAGAGATTGAGTTGACACGAGATACATGGAAGAAGGCAGACAGATGGCACGCCGTGGCCCAAACGGGGAAGGCATAGCAGTGACAGCACACATTCTGTGAACCAGGAGGGGCGCAGGAATGGGGAGGAGGTGGGGGTGGAGGTAGGGGTGGTGGAGGTTGGGGAGGGTGGAGGTTGGGGAGGGTGGAGGTTGGGGAGGGTGGAGGTTGGGAAGGCTCACAGCTGAACGGTGGCATTGAGTTGGCCCAGGAACTCGGGCAGTGGGCCCGAGAGAGCGTTGTCTGCCATCCACCTGTGGGGTCGAGGGCCACGAGGCGATGGCAGCCGAGGTGAGGTGAGAGGGCGAGAGGGCGAGAGGGCGAGAGGGCGAGAGGGGAAGGAGATGATGGGAGAAGGGGGGTAACAGAAGCAGGGGACAAGATGGAAAAGGAAAAACCATGTACAGGCCCCTTGAGAAAGCATGGATGCGGTTGGAACCAGAAGGGAAGGGAGTAACATGTGTGGGTGACAGACCGACAGGGGTCATGATGAAGCAAGCTTGCCTCAACATCTGGTAGGTGTTACTTAGTTGTGCGTAATCGATTGGTTGAGTCTACGAGATTTGCAACGCCACAAATCATGTTAAGGCGAGGGAGAGCTCTTGAGGAACCTATCACCCATTCCGTGACCAACACAACACGCACTCCGTGAACGGGTCCCTATCACCCTCACTCACAGCACGTTGAGCTTTCTGACGGCTGCAAGGCCTGAGGGGAGGGAGCCCGATAGCTGGTTGCCCTGCAGCGTGCTGCTCGTCAGGGAGAGACGGCCAGGGGGGGGGAGTGTGGTGGAGGGGTGAGGGAGAGTGGCGAGAGAGAGAGAATCCAAAGCAAGGATGAGAACGGTGCAAGTAGGGTGGCAGAGAGTGGAGAAGGAAGGGGGTTTGCAGAGAAGGGTGTGTAGAGTGCGTACAGGGTGTAGGGAGTGCGTACAGGGTGTAGGGAGTGCGTACAGGGTGTAGGGAGTGCGTACAGGGTGTAGGGAGTGCGTACAGGGTGTAGGGAGTGCGTACAGGGTGTAGGGAGTGCGTACAGGGTGTAGGGAGTGCGTACAGGGTGTAGGGAGTGCGTACAGGGTGTAGGGAGTGCGTACAGGGTGTAGGGAGTGCGTACAGGGTGTAGGGAGTGCGTACAGGGTGTAGAGGGAGGTGAGAACGCTGATGGAATCGGGTATGGGACCGGTGAGATTGTTGAATCCAAGGTACCTGCACATGTGGGAGGTGCGGGGGGGAACCAGGCGAAACGAGAGCGAGGAGAGAGGTAGGAGAGAGGGGGGGCAAAGAAGTTTTGTGTAACAAAGAACGGGCAACATAAAAATCGGAGGAACGGGAGCAAGGCCGAGGGTGAGGAGCAAAGGGAGCTGCCTCTGATTGAGGGTGATGGGGTGGGATGCGAGATGGGAGGACTTCAGGGAGTTAAGGCACGCGGTCAGGCTGTTCCGACAGACAGACTTCCAAGCTGTAAAAGGCAGGCGGTGAGGCCGAGCGCGCACAGCGCAGAAAGGGTTTTTGATACGAGTCAAAAGGCAGTGAGCATTGAACGGCTTCTGAGAAATTTAAGAAATGGCCCGGGCATACAGAGCATTGAGGGCGTACAGGGCATTGAGCGTGGTGTTGCGCCAGGCGTTGAAGTCTGGAAGGGGCCCTGACAGGCTGTTGCCCTCCAGCTTGCTGCAGTCGTGGTGGGTAGAGCACATGGAAAGGGCAGAGAGGAGAGAGGCGGAGCACGCGGCCTTAAGTTGTGGCAGCAATCAGCTCGCTGCTGTAATGTGGGAGAGTGGGGTGGGGCAAGGAAAGGGGGGTGGGGGCTGGAGGATGGGAAGGGTGTCCAATGCGGAGGGAAAAGGCACAACATACGAGGAGGATTTTGTCAACCAGAAACTGGAAATCATTGCCAAAACAGTGGTTCGAAATTGTGGTACCATGATGACACGTGACGCGGTAACTGGTGATGCGCTGACGTGGTGTGGTAACGTGATGGTTACAGCATAAAAAGGGATGAGCTTGTGCTGAGGTGGGGTGGAAGCGAGCCCTGCAATTTGTTGTACGCGAAGGAGCTGCAGGCAGATTGACGTGGAGTGGAGAGAGAAAACGCAGAGGGACACACGGAGAGCGCACAGTAGCAGCATTGAGTATCATGGCCATTGATGTTTCACTGGCAGCATTGGCACTGTGATGCCTTGCTGTTCCCATGGCAGCCTACGCACCCTCATGCCATGCTGTTCCCATGGCAGCACAGGCACTGTCACATAGCATCAGTCAATCGCATAGCCACTCAAAGCCATGTCACAATGCCATGCCAGCTGACGTCATACCAAGCATGCCACGTGGCAGACAGCGTGCTCACAGCTCGTTGATGTTGGGCGAGAGGAAGAGACCTGGAGGGATCTCCCCCACCATGTGATTGCGATCCATGTACCTGGTGGCGTGGGGCGGGATGTGGCATGATATATGGCATGGCATGGCATGCAAAGCGCCATAGAGAATGTGATGTGTAGTGCACGGTCTATACCACATGTTTACAGGGCGTGGGACATGGGTTACATTACAACACATGGGGCAGGAGGGTCGATGGTGGTAATACACAAAACATGGTGGATGGTCATGTGAGAGGCAGTGCACAGTGCATGGTGCGGTGTCGGGTGAATAACGAAAGACATGGTGCATGGGGAGTAACGCAAGACATGGTGCATGGGGAGTAACGCAAGACATGGTGCATGGGGAGTAACGAAAGACATGGTGCATGGGGAGTAACGCAAGACATGGTGCATGGGGAGTAACGCAAGACATGGTGCATGGGGAGTAACGCAAGACATGGTGCATGGGGAGTAACGCAAGACATGGTGCATGGGGAATAACGCAAGACATGGTGCATGGGGAGTAACGCAAGACAAGGACGCACAGGTACATGAGGGAGCAAGGACGCACAGGTACATGAGGGAGCAAGGACGCACAGGTACATGAGGGAGCAAGGACGCACAGGTACATGAGGGAGCAAGGACGCACAGGTACATGAGGGAGCAAGGACGCACAGGTACATGAGGGAGCAAGGACGCACAGGTACATGAGGGAGCAAGGACGCACTGGTACATGAGGGAGCAAGGACGCACAGGTACATGAGGGAGCAAGGACGCACAGGTACATGAGGTTTTTGAAGGAGGTGAGCTCGGTTGGGAGAGGTCCTTCAAAGTTGTTGTACGAGAGGTCCCTGCTTGGCAAGGCGTGCATGGAGCGCACGGAGCGCACGGGGGGCACGGGGGGCAAGGAGGAGGGCATAGAGTGCATGGAGCGCACGGGGGGCGTGAGGCGTGCGAGATGGAGGAGGCGTGCGAGATGGAGGAGGCGTGCGAGATGGAGGAGGCGTGAGAGATGGAGGAGGCGTGAGAGATGGAGGAGGCGTGCGAGATGGAGGAGGCGTGAGAGATGGAGGAGGCGTGCGAGATGGAGGAGGCTTACATGAGCCCGAGCTGGGTGAGGGTGAGCAGGACGGATGGGAAGGTTCCCCTGAAGTTGTTATACGCAAGGATGCTGCAGGCGCCTCATGAGGTGGGGGCAATTGAGGGGGAAAAGTGCAATGCATGGTTGAGAAAGTGCAATGCATGGTTGAGAAAGTGCAATGCATGGTTGAGAAAGTGCAATGCATGGTTGAGAAAGGGCAATGCATGGTTGAGAAAGTGCAATGCATGGTTGAGAAAGGGCAATGCATGGTTGAGAAAGTGCAATGCATGGTTGAGAAAGTGCAATGCATGGTTGAGAAAGTGCAATGCATGGTTGAGAAAGTGCAATGCATGGTTGAGAAAGTGCAATGCATGGTTGAGAAAGGGCAATGCATGGTTGAGAAAGTGCAATGCATGGTTGAGAAAGTGCAATGCATGGTTGAGAAAGGGCAATGCATGGTTGAGAAAGTGCAATGCATGGTTGAGAAAGTGCAATGCATGGGAAACGTGCACTGCAATACAGTTCACCCTGGAGAGGTTGTACAGAAGATTGCA